AGTTCCCTTCATCACCTCTGTCAGGACTACATAGCAATTTAAAATTATACCATATATCAGGTGGGCCGTCAGCTTGTTTGACATTCTAAGTTGCATAAAAAAGATTATATATATATATATATATATATATATATATATATATATATATATATATATATATATATATATATATATATATATATATATATAATCTATATATAGTACTAAGCACATTGAAAAGAAAATGTGTGAATGCATTATTAAAATGCATTTGATTAATTGTAGCCACTCTTTGTGCATATGGAAGGCTATCGAAGTAGAAGTGTACTTGGCTCACTCTATGGGACAGGTCATCAACAAACACTTCATACACTAACTAGTTTGATAAACTTTCTGCGCGTTTAATGAATTCATTTATGCACGATTTCGCTCAAACTTTACTTTGCAATGCATATCCATGCAATCTATCATTGTTAAAAATTTTAACTCACTAATTGTTATTATTTGGGCTGTACATTGATTGAAATAACTGGAGTAAAGTTGCGTATTGAGACTTCATTGCATTCAGTTCAAAAATATGTACTGGAAAATCTTTTTGTAAAATTTCCTCTTATTCAGAAGACATTTATTACTTTATTAAATGGGTTGAAAAATTTACCTTCCGAGAACTCGATCCGATGGGATTTCACATCTGTCTGCTATCTGGGTTTATTGTGTACTCAGGTATATCACGAAAAAATATTATCACTCGGTACATTTGTATATTTTTGTTTATGGTGCAATAAAGAGTTATAAATAAAATAAATAAACCACTTTTTTCATACATTTACCCCTGATTTTTTTATGTAACTTAGAATGGCAAATAAGCTGACAGCTCAACTGATGGAAAATGATAACCGTTGCATATAGACATGAGCAGTACCATATACGTAACAGAATATACTGTGTCACCCATGATACTATTCCCGAGGACTATTACGTTATCTATTACTGCACTCATCATTGCAACTTATCTATTTTTCACTGTCGAACATAGGTCTCCCATAACTACGCCACAAAGTGCGATTCTGCGTCAGTTATATCCAGCGACACTCTGGAACATTCTTAACATCGTCACTCTGTTTAACAGGGGAGGGGCGATAGCGGTGACCGGAGACAATGGTGTTATCGGAGACTAGTAGCTGAATCTCGTGTAGATATCGTTGATTGTGAAGGACTCTCCTCTTCGCTGCTGCTCTCTTCTGAGTTGTCCAACACAGTCTGACACGCAAAGCTCTCTGTATCTTCTTTAAACAATTCATGTAGTGATCTCTAGCATCCTTGCAAACACGTTCTCGAAAACTGTGATAAAGTCCACCCTTTATCTCTATTGAAATTATGGTGACAGCTAATTTATATGGCTTCACAAACCTCGCGAGGAATAAACAGCTTTTCTCTTGCTAAGACTCGAGCCTTGTCAAAACGCATATAGTGCGTCGCCTCAAAGAACAAAGTTTGCTTTAATAACTTTAGTACTTCAGCGGATTTCCATGTTCCGGATTCTATCACAAAGTGAAACTCTGAGCGTAGCCCTATCCGTAGCTTGATGAACGACTTGTAGCATTCTCATACGACAAGCAGACTAGTTTTTACACTGTCATTTATAAATTTTATCAATACTTCATCATTCAAGACTCTAAGAATTATATGACAAAACTACATTTGCATTTGCATGCCATATTTCGATAGTTATAAATAAATTATACGGATAACTTGGGGATTAAGGAGCATCTAATATAAATGCAAATATATGTCTGAAGAGTTATAAGCCTGGTAACAGCTGATAATGGCCTTATACATAATATATATATTTACTTTATATTACACATAATAAGATGTGCGGAAATATATTATGAATATCGATTTAAAATGTCAACGTATTTGGGTAATGTTCTTTCTATATATATATATATATATATATATATATATATATATATATATATATATATATATATATATATATATATGCATTCACTATTGTGTTACGATCGGATGGGATGAAATATAATAAGAAGAGATGGATGCTATAGAGGATACAGTGGGGGAAAGAGATTGAGATCTAACAACCCCATTGCTAGTCATGCACGACGAGCTATGAGAATTGTCGATGATCCCATGCTTGCAAGCGGTATCGAACCCTTAAGTCTTAGGAGAGATTTTGCCTCATTCTGCGTGTTCTACCGCTTATACAACGGATTGTGCTCAGAGGAATTATTCAATATGATGCCTACGGCCACTTTCTATCATCGTACGGCTCGCCATCGACAGGGAGTTCGCCCTCATACCTTACAGCCTAAATGGTCGCGTACAACGCGGTTTTAGAGATGCTTTCTCCCACGAACACTCAGGTTATGGAATAAGCTCCCTGCCATGATTTTCCCAAGAGACTACAGCATGGGTTCTTCAAAAGGGGGTAAAGAGGTTTCTTCAGGGTCGGCAACGCGCGCGTAATACCTCTGGTATTGCAGGCGTTCATAGGCTACGGTAACCGCTTACCATCAGGTGGGCCGTATGCTTGTTTGCCACTTCAGTGGTATAAAAAAAATGCACCCTATCAGGTCGAGATCCATGTGGTTTCCCCTGAAAACAATCTTGATTAATTCTTTTATGAATTTTCACAATGAGCCAACTCACCTGCTTTCATCATCACATATCATCTCTCACTGGTGCCCCGTCAATATATACCGATAACGCACACTCCATTTTATTATCACCCATTTAAAAAAAGGTGATACAGTATATTCCAAGAGTGTTTTCGCAGTACTTGTAATAAATCAAGTTAACAATATCATTACATTTAAAAATAATAATAATAACATAGTAATTATTTCTTTATCTCATAAAATATTTAAGCAATAAAAACCAGCAGAGGCAAATATTACAAAAGTTATTTCTAATTTATTTGTCTGATATTTGAATACCAAATCCTCATTTGAATTTAAACTTATCTATTAAGGGTCTTCTTGAAATAATTATGGAACTTAAGATACCTAAGTTTTTATACAGGTTATTGGGATATTAATTTATTGTTGACTAGCTCTGTACGCTACTTCCTATGCGTGGGTTTCAAAAGTAGATAAATCAATGAAAAACTTTTAGATGAGAGTATTAAGAAGAAACAGGCGAGATTTTAAGTTACAAGAAATACGAGTATAATTGTTAAATGCGTATTCAATTTGGCGCAGTAATTTTTTCGTGATGCCGAAGTACACATACAGATAGACAGACAAAATTTATAAAAATATTATTTTGGCTTTTATTGCTCTTTTATTATAATTCCTCATATATTTTTTTCTTAAATATCTTCCATGTACACACACTGTCTACTTACAATTTTGTTATATTTATAAGTTAGTAAAATTAGAAGACAGACTTAATCAGAGAAAAAAACTACCCTTAATTCTTCTTTTTATTTAAAAGTTTCCTCTTATCGGCGCATCTAAATTATGTATCCTCTTCCAAATAGCTCTATCCCAGGCCATATCTTTGACCTCTCTATACGACATGACACCTAGTGTTTCCTTTATCTGTTTCCCTTAGTTTCAGACCTCAAAACAGTTCTTTGCCAGCCAAAAACACCGTAAACTTGTTCATAATTATCATGGGCGATTCAGTATACTTTGTTATATTCTCGATACTGTTCATAAATACAGGCGACAGTTATCTCTATCAGGTGGGCTGTTAGATTGTATGCCATTTTAGGTTGCATAAAAAAGATAATTATAACAAAATAAATGACTAAAAAAATGGCCCAAGTAATTAATGATGGAAAACAGATTAACATAAAATCTGAACACTCTAATTAACTATTACAGCAAGAAAAGTTATCATCGTAATAAATTAGAAATTTCCACATTAAAATTCAAAATTGTGTAATTAGGTCCGTATTCATTAAAACAATAATAATGTAGATTGCTTGGAAATTATATCGAAATCAGCATTCCATATTTTATCCCCAAGGGTCTGTGTAGACGAGTAACTTTTATAAGTGAAATTATCCTTGAAGTTTTACCACAAATATTGCTCGTGTAATCAGCCCACGTCTTATACGGTCTCGTATGCAATATGCGGTGTAATTTTTTATCATAGCCTTAACAACCTAAAATGTAAGTCTATACCTATAGGTATTTCTTCATTATAAAACCTCAAGTGACTTGCTTAGTCATATCTCTCTATAGACTTATTTACACTTACTACCTTTGACAGAGGGGTAAAAATGTTGGGACACTTGATACGACATGACGAACTTATAAACATTATAATAAAAGATAAAATACAATGAAAGAGGGAAAGAGGGAGACCAAGGTATAGTTACAGTAGGCAGATCAAGAAAGAAGTTGGTGTCGTGTCGTATCAAGAGGTGAAGAGACTCGTTGAAAATCGTAGTGAGTGGCAAGAGCTCCACCGACAGGAATGCAGCTCTTAAATAGGATAGATAGATTGACCTTTTATTCACATATCGCACATTTCTTTTTCATAGCTTTATTTTTATAATTATTAATTGCTTAACCCTATGTGGGTCGCTCGATTTTACTGAAATAAATCTTCATTCTCTCCACTTAATTAAATGCTGCAAGTAATTAAATGTCGCAGCTGCATATCACTGTTTGGTCTTAAATTAAGCTTTAATAGAGCCTAATTAAATTTTAATTTAGACTGTCAATATAAAATTGATATCAATTAAGTTAATTTAGCTTTTTCTGTGATTTATTCTTCTGATTTAAATACTGCAATATCCACTGTAAATACAAGTACAATATAAACTAAAGTGCGTCCAATTTTCTAGGTTATTCCGTATTTGCGGATTTCTGTATGTAATAGTATTAACGGTGACAATAGCCCAAATCCTTATCTTTGTAATATATAAGAAGCTTACAAGAAAAGTCTATTAGTGGTCAAGCAACTTCTATGGATATTAAGATATATTACGCCGGTGTTACAAATAAATACGAAAGAGACAAAGGTATAAATAAAACAATGGAAAATTCTCATCATTTATATTCGCTATAACGTTTTTGAAACATTTAATTTATAATTAACTACTATATAAATACAATTAAGAATACCTTTCTCTAAGATCACAACAACATTGAAAAGTTAATTATAAGTATTGTAAACACACGCTTTATCCATTTGGGGTAGGTAGAAACCATAGATCGTATTTTGCTCCTATTTTAAAATGCTTATGCTAAAATATTATTTACAATAAATAGAATACATTGCTATATTTACATCCTAGTCTCATCACTGATATAAGAACCAATAAATATTCCAATTTCTTACAATAAAACTATGTTTTATGGAACAAAAATATTTTTATATTAATTTAGTCTATAACTAATATATGGGGTAATAAAATACGAGTTGATGGAATTATTCTAGTTAATGCCGCGATCACAGAATTTTTAATACAATGAAGTTATGAAATTTGAAACTTTTGTGAAACATAAAATGCTTTGCCCTTTTAAATATTAGAAAATGATGAACTTAAATCGTTTTAGAAATAATTAATTCAATATGAAAATTTCAATAATTTATTGAGTGATTGAGTGAGTGCCAAATGTCTAATGGTAAATAAAATGTTTAATGTAGTCTGAAAGACTTTACACGTTCTCTTGTATCATATTTCGCAATTGGGAATCTATTATTGATACTTTTAAAATTAGTTTTAAAAATATTAATGCTTAACATATTACATGATTTTAATTACTTAATAAATACATTTTGTAATAATTGTAGACAATTCCAAATACTGGAACAGTGGCTTTGTTAAAGAAAATTCTTTCTTTTATTTCAATCAAAATATTTTTTTAATAGATCTCTCGAAAGAAAATAATATTTTTCTCTTTATACATAATTAAAGAATGTATCCCACAAAAAACACCGACTTCAATCGAGATAAAACGAGTTATTTTAATGTCAAATTTAAACTACTGAACCGACTTTGATAAAATCTCTATGGAACCAATCTATTAATATACTTTCAGATACAAAAAGAATCATTCAAGTCGATTTAGAACTGACGGAGTTATGAGGTAACAAACATGTAAAAATCGAACAGAATTGAGAACCTTCTACCTTTTGAAGTCGGTTGAAAATTACATGTCCACAGTCGATTACATGTTTTTACATCAATGTCGATAACAGTGATAGATGTTTAGCCAAGCAAAATGTCGCAAATAAGGCAAGGGTATTAAGTGATAGATAAATAATGAATTAAACGTGGAATTTTTCTCCACTACATACCATTTAATTTATCCTTGGAAAATTTCAAAAAAATAAATATGCTCACGACAATAATCCCTAACGAGGTAGTCAGAGACATTGTCAACTTTTGCCATTGTGGTGAACGTAATATATAGGTTGACATAAAAAATACCTTATTTAAATATATTGGATCATTCTTTTTATATTATATAAAATAATAGCACATTTTAACAAAAACACTAATTTTTTGGAATTTTTCTCTTTATGTGGAACAACCAACATAAAGAGAAAAATTCCGAAAATGGACTCAAATTTCAAGAACATAAATTAAAAAAATCTAAATGCATTAATATTGGGTTAAGTACTTATAATTTTTTTAAGTAACGTGTAAAAAAAATTCTATCTAAATAATAAATAATTGCAACCATAAATATGTTCATGGCTTACTTTCTGCACTTTGCGATTTCACAACCCTTAGTTCACCATATATAAACTATTTGGCTTAGCTTTTTAGGCAGATGTTTCTCAATACTCATCCACATAAGCCTTTAAGCTCCGTCAAAACCTCTTACAACTTATTGGTGGATGCCTAAAACTAGAGATGACTTCTTTACATTTGTTCCGTAGATCAGAATCACTCAAAAGATATCAAATTACAATTTTGATATATCAAGACGCTTTAACATACTCATTGCTTCGAATTAAAAATTTCGATGTTCAATACTTATAAAAGTATCACATTCGTAAATTGATTGATTTATAATTATAGAAGCAAAGGAATGTTGGAAGTGATGTTAATATCGTATTATATTTACTATATCAGTGAAACAGTTTGACTATTTTGTTTATCGATTAAACATCTACTGTAATTGTTAGAGTCATACATATTTTCTATACAAATTTCTAGATACAATTCTTCTAGCTAAACTTGTAATAAAATTACGATCTTACCTATTCAGCAGTATAGAATTTATACGATGTTTAAGTGAGCACACAATTTTATTAACAATTTTATCAACACCTAATAATCTAATATTGACACCAAAACATTGATAATTATTATTAAAAATTCTCTCATCTTTACCAGTTAAGTACATAGATTAATAAGTTAAACCTTGACCAGAATTATAATTCAATTATACTTAATTTAGTGAAAGGATGGCTTTTTTTTCTTATATTCTAAGTTTTAAGTTTTCATCTGCATCAATTAAACTATTTATGTAAATTTAAATTATACTTCTGATCATAATACTATCAAAGAAAAATATGCAGTCTATAATAAATTAAATAATTCAGTAACATTAGCTACTGGAAATACATTAAGTATAAAGTCACACTATTGAATCATTCAGTGTATCAGCCTTAGACAACAATGGTACACTGCTATAATCTTTCAAATGCTCATTTACTTTTTTAGAGCCATTATCAAAGGAACTAGCTGTCGGTATCTTTGCTATCCAATTATTATTACCTACCTTATTCGATTTATGATTTCCAACTGAATTCATTTGACAGTCCTTCAGTTTCACTTTTGGCTGTCCATGACTGACTGAGTTGTGATTCAACGAATTTACATTCAGTGATATGGAATTCGTTACACTTATTTTTTCTAGGTCCTCACTATTGTCTGTAATTCCATTAGCTACAGGCTCAAGTGGATCTGAATGCTGTCTCTGGATTTTAAGATTTTGCAATAGCGGTGTAGCTTCTTTTTCTAATTTCTCTAGTTTGCTAGTGTCATTTTGTTTTTGTAAGAATATGCCAGAGCCTCTTCTACTAGACGAACGGGACCCATGGTCTAATCGCTGTCTGAAAGGTGTTAAGTGTGACAGAGAACCACTCTCTGATGACTGTGTTTGGTGTTTGGTCAACGAAGGTTTTTCTTTAGGTGCATTTGGATCGACTTTTTCACCTAACAACCAATATGTGACTAGAATTCCTTTTCCCTGTAATAAATTGATTTAATTAATACATTTTAAATTACACAACCACATTGGTCTGAAATTTTGAACAAGCAAATTGATTAAAATTTCAATTACAATTAATTATGAATTCCAGTAACGGTATGAAAACATTACCATATTATTCACAAAGTTATTAAATTCATGACACGAATCAATTAATTCATCATTGTAATCGAGAACAGTCCTATTGTCAAAACAATAATCATTAGAACAGCAGTGAAATACAGTTGCAGACTCTGTAGAAACATCTCGAAAATATCTTTTCTAGCAAACACGTTTTATAAATCATGCATACCTTCATAGCTACTTCGCCCCGACACTCCAGATGGAACGTTCCGAACGTATCCAACAGAGCTTTTGTATCCGGAGATACATGAATTTTGAGAGCTTCACCATTCGACTCCATCCGAGATGCCGTGTTGACTGTGTCACCAAATAAACAGTATCGAGGCATCTTGAGACCAACGACGCCGGCAACACAGGGACCTAATGTCAAATGAATAGATGAAAAGTTAATGCAGACGTAAAAAAATCAACGTTGTCGTTTCTTTACTTGGCATGTATTTTAATCTAATGCAACATATTCATTGACATATTGAATAGGTTATGTAATAATAATATTTAACGCCTCTCTAATAACACATTCACTGTGTACGCACTATTACTTGTAGAATTTTATAGTAAATAGTTTGTTTTTTATTCTATTTGTGTTACAACTTTTTGATGAGCTATTCATATTCATGGTGCTATTCATTCTATGGTGCTACTCATGTCATAAAACAGATTTTTTTTTATATATATACAGCATCAAATGGCAAAATAGTTTACGGTCCACCTGATGGAAAATGTAACCTTTGTCTATGGACACGAACAGTATACACCAAGTGATGCCTATGATACTTCTTTTCTGTTGAGATTTCTGAGTACTAGGGTGTTATGTCTCCGTGACTATAATGTCACTGTGATATTCTCCTATTCCTCAAATCGAATACATATACATAATATAACCACGGTTCATTGGCAAGGCATACATGGTAGAAATACTATATATTTAATTAATAGTAAAGCAGAACTACCCATTCAAGTGACTTTTACAGACTCTCTCTCTCTCTCTCTGTCTCTCTCTCTGGTATACTCGTATAATAATTTTAATAATATAAACAACTTCGTTATTTAAAGTACGAGCAACTGTCAAAGTGCTGATAATGCTGTAAGTAACTATAACTTTACCAGAAAACTTTTGAAAGATTTCCCGTTAAAGTTACTTTAGCAAAACCAGAAAAGTTTGTTTGGATCCTTCTAAATGGATATTGATAGTTTCAACCCAAACAAACTTGTGTATAATCCTTTTAGCACGTTTTAGTAACATTAGAGATCCATCATGCAGTTTTAACATAGTCGTCAATTGTCCACTACCGAACATAGGTATGCCTCTATTGGGAAATTTTGCCAGTATTTGCCATGTTTGGCAATCGCAGCCAGGCCTTGGAGATGTTTTAAGAGGGACGCTGCTGCCCATCCATCGACCATCAATTTCCTTTAGTCGCTTTTTACAAAACCACGGGAAAGGAATGGGTGGCCCATTCTATGTCGGGGCCATACGGTATCATGTAGTTTTACATTAATTACTTGCCAGAACTTTGCTTACGTGAATCAGTATATATAACCTATTCAATATACTAAGTTTAATTCAAATCCCTAGTTTTTTCATAATTAAATATTCCATCTAACCATACATCCTCTAGCTTCAATACAAATATTCTCAATTATAATTTATTTTTTTATTTATTTAATAATTTATTGTACACGCTAATTATACACAAAAATATGACAGAGATAATCAAATGTATTGGTAAAAGGGATTTACAATAATAGTAGTTCTATACAAATTTAAAATCATTCGTACCTTTATTTATTTTTTTATACATAGGATCACCAACATAAGATACAGCGAAACATTTCAATACAATACACTGGTAGATTAGATCTAACTGTTCTTACATTTATAGGCAATCACAGCATGCTTTGTGTTTGATAAACATTAAAATGGAATTAAATTATTAAATGTCATTAAATAAATAAAGATATTAATAATATGAATAATAATATACTATAAATAATGAAACTTTACGTCTACTACTGCTCCTTTACTTTATGTGACTGTTCTGTCAATATAACTGAACTTTTTCCCAAAGAAATATGAGTCGAAAGACGACAAAGAACTTTAGAACTTCCCTTACTAATTTGACAGTTGGACGTGCCGTGTTAGTACAGAGACTCGTAAATAATAATAAATAATTTGTATAAATAAATGTGACTTATATGTAGACAGTTATACAAAATTTATTATATATATATATATATATATATATATATATATTATCTCAGATCTCTATTACCAAAATATATTTATAATTATTACCAAAATAATTTTCATATTTGTTCCATATAAACTTCATCAAAATAGGTCCCGTAATTTTTAAATCAAAACTGATTTTGCAACTATTTTTGTGTATTTTTTAAAATAATATCTACTTGTATTTTCAAGAAAAAATACGTATAATCATTGTAAAAAAACACTTGAGTTTCCTTACAATTTTTATTAAATACGTTTTTAAAAACTACACAAAAAAATCTTACGTGCGTCATTAATACATTTGTATTAAATATTTTATAGATCTTTGAGAATTCAAAGTCAAACCGGTCCAATATTGTATAAAAATAATAAGTCATAGGATTTTACAACGATCATATTTATACCACAAAGATGGTGAACAAGCATACAGCCCGTCTGATGGTAAACAGCCACTGTAGCCTATGGACGCTTGCATCACTAGGGGTATCACGTGTGCGTTGCTGACCCTGAAGTAACCTTAATATACCCTTTTTGAAGAACCCCATACTATAGTCTCCAGGAAAAACCTCAACAGGGGAGCTCATTCTACAGCCTGAGCGTTCGTGGAAGAAAATTTCTCTGAAACCGTACGAGACGATTTAGGCTCAAGCGTATAAGGATGAAATCCCTGTCGATGGCAAGCAGTGGGATGATAAAAGGTGGCTGTGGGCATCATTTCCGCAAGAATTCCGCAGAATACAATCCGCTATACAAGCAGCAGAACAAATAAAGAGAGTAAGTCTCACCTTAGACTTAAGGACTTGATACCGCCTGTGAATTTGATGATAAAAAACTAACGTTCACATTTATAATATTAGTGCGGATTTCTCTTATTATATAAATCCCTTCTGATAACATTTTATCTGTAGTAAAAGTCTCGAACTTATACTAACGCACTTTGACCTATAAGGCGCTTTTACGCATTGTCATGCCTTTCGCTTGGGCGATTATGGTTAAGAGCCATATGATGTCCTGGGACTAAGATAAATCTTCTATTTCTAGAAAAAAGATTCATTTAAGTCCTTACTAAATATGATGCATGCCATAAAATCTTTTCGTTCTTATCTCTGTCATATTCTTGATCTGCTAATTTTAGATAGTTTTAAGTTGTACCTATATACTATTAATATTTTATGTATATGTATATCATATTATGTTATGTATATAATACCCATAATACCACATAATACTCATACATATAAATGACGAGATGTTCCATACATATTTTAAATACACTATCGGAGTTTAATAGAACTGTCGTGACCACGACATGACACAATCCACGTCAAAACATAGGCATCCAAAAGCAGGTACCTAGGCACTACTTTAAAATATTTAAAATGTTTCATTACACACACATTATATCAAATATATTTTAATTTAGAACGAAAAGAATATAAGTCGATTTTTTTTTCAACAGTTTTTTTTTCTGTTCTACTACAAAAAGCAGTTTTTTTTTTAATCTGAAATGATGTGTATAACATGTTGAAGCATATAATATTCATTTCAAAAATTATGAAACCTGATTAAGAACTGGCGAAAACAGAATAATTCAGATGAATTGAATTGATTTTTATATTAAACTTATATACAAAGCTTTAAAAACAAACATTTAATAAAAAAATATTAGCCAAGTAAGTGCAACGAAATGTAAACGAATAAAACAAATTGACATTTTTAATTATATAGATTAATTTAATAGGGAGCCAACGCATTTTTTTTTTTAACGGTTTTTTATTTTTTTTTTTTTCACTTTTATACTTATATTTTCAAGAATAATACTTAGTGGAACACTAACGCAATGTTTTCTAAACTGTATGAACTAAATAAATACTTACCAGAATGCAAACCAATCCTCAGCTTGAGCTGATCGTGAGGTCTGTGCCTGATGCGGAACCTTCTCACAGCATCCAGCAGAGCCAGTGACATCCGCGCCACCTCACACGCGTGCCGTGTGCCGTTCCTCTCAGGAAGACCAGATACCACCATGTACGCATCACCTATTGTCTCCACCTATTGGAAAATTACAATAAAATTAATAAAAATTATTTTATGTATTATATAAAATAATAATGAATATAATGAAAAAAATACAGCTGATATACATTATGATATAAAATATTTATATGATGTGTATATATATGTATATGTATAAATAAACAGTAAAATTATAAATATTCCATTATTATACATACAGATATAATAATAATAGTGCACCTAGGGTTGCAGGCGTCAATAGGTTACAGTGTTGTATTGTATTGTATTGTATTGTAAAAAAAAAAAAATCTTTATTGTACATAATTCACATTAAATACTCATAAATGATTTAATATACAGTAATAGTTTAACGATTTTTTAAGAGCATAATAGAAGGAAAGATAGAGTATAAAAGAGGAAGAGGAAGACCGAGGATTAACTACATGGGACAGATAAAGGAGACACTAGGCGTCATGTCGTATAGGAAGATAAAGAATATGGCCTGGGATAGAGCTGGCTGGAGGAAGATGCATGAATTAGTTGCACCGACAAGAGGAAACTATTAAATGAAAAGAAAAATAGTTTATCATCAGAAATAGATATACATATACATACATATATATGTATAATCATTAAGAAAATGAGCAAAAGTTAAAAATATATTCACTCATATTTGATTAGACTCAAAATAAGGCTACAGCCTTATTAGTCTAATTTTCAGATTTAAATATAAATTTTCTGCAGTAAAATATTATAGCTTTCTATGAAATAATTATTAAAATTGATTGAGTAGTTTTTGAATTTATCCATTACAATGAAACAAATAATTCCTCTTTATATGTATAGAAGTATAGATTAATTATTTTTTTATCTATCTATCCGTATAGAGTTGGAGTCTATCGCAAGTATCTATGCAAAAAGATAGATTATTCTGTACAAAAGAAAATATTATTTTTGCTAAAATCTACATTACTCATAATAATAATAAGGAACGTATTTAAGATAAGGTAAGATGAGATACATCCGCGACAACTACAACTATCTTATTAATAAAGAATTTTCTCGTTGAAGATAGTAGCTTAATAACGCTTTGTATCATCTCGCTGCTGCAGCGATTTAGGTTTTAAGAGCTTTTAGGAAATGAAATCTTTTTGTCGCGCTAGAGACACCCTAATTCTTACTAATATTGCAAATGTGAATGTGAGTTTGTTTGTCTGTTATTTCTTAGCGACTTTGTAACTTTATCGATCGATATGAAATTCAGTGAAAATATGCCGGTCACGCAGATGAAATCAGGGGTTAAAATTAGTATTGTAATATTTATAATTACCATTTGGTAAGTTGTTTTTTTAATACTACGTTTATAGTATAAATTATGTTATACACCATCATATATTTATAAATTTAAATATATATTTTCGTAATATAATTGCATATTGTTTGCACTGCCATATTTTTAAACAAACATATGTTTGTTACTGTTTTGCTATTTTCTTTCAAATTGAAAAATTTGTGCAAAACAGAAATGACAACAATTCTACAGCTAAAATAATTTTGTAAGATATTTGAGATTTCTTATGACCAAGTAAGTAATTCTTTACTGATTACAAAACATTACTAATGGATCTAATATTAATTAAGCTAAGCTTAAAAAGAATTAAGCTAAGCTTCATATCAGATGGATTTTAATAAGCTTAGCAAATTTTGTTTAGCATTGGGCTACGTTCATCACAACACTCGTAGCAACCATCGACCAAATTTCTAAAAAGACTTTGATTACCTCAACTGGATTCGTCAAATTTATTTTAAAAAGTTTCTCATTTGAAAAGAATTTAATAACAACTGCGTTTCTTGACCGTTCTTCTTTATTAAAATTGCGCTCCGAATAGGCGGAAGAATCATAAAAAATGACTATTCAAATATGCTTAAATTTAAGTTTATTTGAATAAAAATATTAATTTATTTTTTCTTTCTACCTTATCACAAAAAAAATTTAAAAAAAACTGCTATTTAAACAGATTTTGATAAAATTCAGTCTAAGTGATTAAATATTGTTTGTTTATTTATTTATTTCCAAGAAACATAGTAAGTGTATAGATGTTAACAATAGGTATAATATATATATCCTCATATTTCGCCATAATTAAGTATGCAAAATTTAAAACTTCAGAAGTATAAATGTTATATTTAATTAACAATGTCATTAAAACAATTAGTAATATTACAGAAAATACAATATATCAAATACTTTGAACACTTGTTAACAAAAAAGTAATGTCACTGTCAAATCATGGACATAACAGCTGCATTGTAAAACGATAGGTAATTCAAACTTTAGTCGATGTAATAATGTATATTTATAAATTTATTTAATAAAATTTATTACTTTAAGTACCTTTTATTTTTAATATATCAGACTATATAATAAGAGGTATATACATGTATTGATCATCTGTCTTTATAAAGTTTTGATAAGACAGTTTGTAAACCGTCTTGTGAAATATTCAAAAAAATATTAAATGTATTTAATAATACTTACTTTGTAAACGTCATAGTTTTCAACAATCGAATCGAAACACGTGTACAAATCGTTAAGTAGATCGACAACTTGCATCGGCGTGGAGGACGCAGAGAGAGCCGTGAAGCCGACAATATCGGAGAAGTAGATGGTGACCTGTTCGAACGTCTCGGCTACAACTGAGAGGCCGTTGATCAGTTGAGATGCCACAGACCTGGATGTGACAAAATTATTATTAAAAAATATATAATTCACACAAAGTAGACGACGACAAAGTAGATGACGGAGCAACATCTTCAGGTTCCTCCGTCATTTTATTGCTTGTATGTACATATATAATAAATATAATAGCTGCGAAAAATAATAATCTGTTTCGAATTCTATCACTTATTTACTAAGTTAATCCACTACAAAAGCAACAAAATTATACTAATTAATCAATGAAGCATACTGGTTACATATTCGTTAACTTACTTTGGTAACAACTGGTACAATAACTCTTCGCATTTCTTCTTCTCTTCCAAATAGTCTTGGGTACGTTCATCTACTAAGAACTCTAAATTATTTGCATATTGTTCCATACGTGAAAGCAAATTATCCAAAATATTACTACTTTCTTGAGTCCTGTTGACAATAATATCGTTCTTTAGAATTTTCTCGTAAACTTGTTATAACACAGAAGTGTTTTTAAATATATTTTATATACTAGCAAAACATATTATGTATTTGATGACAGTAATTAATAAAGAAAAAACAAGAAAATCTAATAAGCGCCACCAGGAAAAATCTCTTAAACTTATTACTAAAAAAAATATAATAAAATGAATACGAAGAAAATAAAAGTATATATTATGCTTGTGAAATAAAAAATAACACCGTGTACTATAAAAATAAAAACTACAAAATTATGACTAGAGGAATGAATGAATTAAAACTCTTCATTTGTTCAAAGAATTATACGGATTATAAAGATTAATTTTATATATATAAAATGTATCTTTATAATCCTTATAATGTATAATTTATAATGTATAATTATATATATATATATATATATATATAAAGAAATATTAAAAAAATTATAAAAATTTCTATAAACTAATTTAATATGTATAAATAATGATTACTACTTTCAATCCAGTGGACTGTCAGTTTATTCGAAAAAAAAACGACAATATTTACCAAAGGAATGATATATAAATGGTACAATAAAAAGTTTCATTCATTCATTCACAAAACATAACGAGTTAAAGCTAATGAACATAAATTAATGAAATGTAAATAAAATAATACACTAAATAAATTGGCATGATACCTTATATATATATAAAAAATACCTACAATATAAATTTATAAAGGGATCAGATTTCAAAAGTAAATTGACCGTAAAGGTCACAAAATTTCAGGTATCTTGTCCGACAAAGTGACTGGATACACAGCAACCGCAGATTTGTGTAATTTAAAACTTTTGCGTACAATGCGGTTTCCCATAATGAAACGTATAAAGTTAGAATTTGGGTAATTTGACTCGTAAAAGGAATCGAATGAAAATAGCAAAGGTATAAAGTATTCCAATATTCGACGAGTTTTTTATTTCCAATATTCTGCGAGGTCTGATTGAGGTAATAGTTTCTGAAATAGATACCGAGGTTAATTCAAATTCATTTAACAATTACAGTCATAAAGAAACACCACTTCCATGGTAATTTTAAACGAAAAAGCTATTATATGGCCATAAATTCTGAATTCGCCATTAAGCCAGGGTGAATGTAAAGAATTTTCTTATTTATTTTAATTTATCACCCGAAGTAACTTAAGATTAATGCGTTGCAAATATTTGGAGAAATTCCTTCAGACTCTTTGATACATGGGAATTCTTAGAGTGAAATTAATATTTGAAGATAAAGATATTTAAATAAATAATATTTAGATGATATTTATGTATTTTGTAAATTGTAGAAAATTTATGTTTTTACTTAATAATTTATTTTAATTATTGATTTTAATACCTGTTAATTTTATTTTTTACTGTATAAATATTTAATTATTAAAAAATAAAATAGTGAATAGTTAGTGAATGAAAAAAAGCAAATGAATGGTCATGCTAAGTAATTGACCAAAATATAGGGGAAGAGATAAAATGTTAAATGAATAAATGTTAAAAAGCTTGAAATATTTCATTTTGTTAATTTGTTTTAAATAATTAATTATTTAATTATTAGTAATTTGACGGTTAACAATTAATACCTTCTGACATTTTAAAAATAGTTTTAAATTTTATTTTTCTTACATAAATATGTATTATGTTTTATATTTATATTTTTTATGTTTTATATAAAAGTAATTTTTAGATCAGTACCTATATACGGTAATGATATACAAATCAAGAGTATTTTACTCTTTGATTTCATCGTATTCTTACTGACATTTTAAATAAATATGTAAGTTTGTTTGTTTGTTGCGTGTTAGCGTCTTAATGGCCTAACTAGTCACAAAGAAATTTGGTATACATGTACTATATGGGATGGAGAAGGACATAGGCTACTATTATTCTGGTAAATCGAAATATCTATTTCAAAATAAAAATTGATTTGGAATAAATTTTTCAAGAAACATTTTTATAGCAGAATTAGTCGAATGCATTCCACAACCAGTATGAGCAGACATGTACATAAACATTACTTATTGAGGCGTCGGATCGCTATCTTAAGGTGAGCAAAGTCCGGTCGCTCCGCAGGGTCCTCAGCCCAACACTTCCTCATCAGTTCTGCGGCATCGTCAGCCTCGCACGATCGAAGATTGGTTACATTCGGTCGAATACCGCTTCCTATTACGGTGTCAACAATTTCTGTGGAATTAAATTATAATATATAGATATAAAATTTAATGAAGGGTAACCGAGTTTTATTGAAATCAACACAAAAACACTGTGTAAATCAAATTAGTAATAAATTAAGACATTCAATTAATTGATACATTATGATTTGTACTATTCATTAGACATAAGTACACTACCTTATTGTCTAGTCAATTATTAGTTTATTTACATTTTCATTAAGTTCTATTGAAATATAGTTCTACAATATTCAAAATTTGAAAATTAATAGTGTATTATTATTATTTATATCTACAAATACACACCCATAGCTGAATTAGGTGATTTCCTTTTACTTAATACTTATTAAATGAAATCTATTGAAACTGACTATAATATTGTAAATTTAAAAATTAATAGTGTATTATTATTTTCTTTTACCACTACCAACAAATACCTACTGCTGAAGGTGATTTTCTTTAACTTAGTACTTATTAATTGATTTCTATTGAAACTGACTAAAATATTACAAATTTAAAAATTAATAGTGTATTATTATTATTATTTATTTATTACAACAAATACACACCTACTGCTGAATGAGGTGATTTTCTTTAACTTAGTATTTATTAATTGAAATCTATTGAATCTGACTATAATATTGTAAATTTGAATATAAATAGTGTATTATTATTTTCTTTTATCACTGTAAAGACACATCTACTGCTGAATGAAGTGATTTTTTTCAACTTAGTACTTAATAATTAAAATCAATCGTAATTACATACTACATAAGTCTACTTTTCTTTTCTATTTAAATAAATCAAATGTAGTGCTATTTTCAGACACTGTCATCCCATTTTACACTACTTTACCTACATTGGATTGATACTATTATTGCCTAATATACATGTTTTTTACTTATTTTTGCATATGTATTATTTATGTTTTGTAAACAAGTTAAAATACGAAAAATCTATTAGGTATAATAGTTTAAAATTTAAGCTATGTTCTTTAAAAATGACCTTTACACAACCAACCTTTAGGGGACATTTCAATGCCTGGTCCCAACCAGAACACACCCTGTCTGTTGACAATCTCGTGCATGATTATTCCAAAGGAATACACGTCACCCTTCTGCGTACCTTCAGGCGGTGGGTCTGACATACGGAGTAGCTCCGGTGATGTCCACAACAAACCTACATTAAATATAAATACATATAAAAGACATATAAAAACATTCTTCATCATCATATATGATTTAACTGTCCACTACTGTAAATAAGTCTCTCCCATAAGTGGGGTTTTGACAGTAGTTGACACGCTTGGCAGGCGGATTGGCAACCGCAGTTTTAGATATATTTTGAAATGGACGCTGCTGCCCATCACCCGCCCGCTCTTAGTCGCCTCTTATGACACCCATATGAAAGGAAGGGATGGCCTATTATTACTTAGTATAAAAAAAGTCCCTTTATATCTGTTTTCGGCTTGCTTTTTCTAAACCACGTAATACATTTTCACTGTCATTTAAATATTATTTTAAAGATGGCGGATGTACATACATTATATGTAAATTTTTGTTTATATGGATAAATTCAATGTTTTATAATTATCATTATCATTCTTAGCATTAAATCATGCTGAGCAGGCGAGTTAATAACTGTGGATTTTTTGTATTACATTTTTATTGGCTAAACCATCATCGAATGCACTTTCTACCTGTCAAATATAGATATTATTAATTAAAGATCTTTGATGGATATTCAGTAGCGAGCAGACGATTTTTATAAAAAATCTCCCTCTGCTAAAAACATCCATCATAGCTATCGTAGATATAAATTAATTAATAATAATAAAGTAAAACAAAGTGTTCTTATAATTATCATTCTTTATCATTCTCTTTAATCCAGTTACATCATTATTTAAAAGAACGTTTTATGTTTCTTGAGAGAGCGAGTTCTTATTCCTTATAACTGACAACCTCCATTTTCCTACCCATTCTTCCTCTTTCTACTCCAAATCCTTTTCCGTTTCGTTTGTGGAACTCACTCCCTACCTCTATACGGTGCGCTCAATCGTTGCCCATTTTTAAAAACTTACATCATCCTTATAATCACTTAGTCCTACGTATTTCCAGTTTTATGTGTTATATATATGTGTATTAATATGGTATATTTGTATGTATTTATGCGTATATACGTATATGTATGTATATATATTTATATGTGTATGTGTATGTATATATATGTATATGTTTGGTTGTATGTGTTTATTTATGTATGTATATGTATATGACTATCCTGTCACAAATATTATTTTTTAAAAATCTATCTTTTTTAACGCGCCACCTACCTACTTAAATTCTTTCTAAAAGGTTGTCATTGCTTAGCAATAAGACATACACTATCGTATTGAAAATAACAAATCATGTTATGTTGGTGCAATAAAGTGTTAAATAAATAAATAAGTAAATAAATAAAACATACGAGTCCAGTAGCTATGCGCTCTTGAGTCTTTCTCGCAGCTCCTCAAAGCGTGGAGTCCAAAGTCGGTGATTTTTAAAACAAATCGGGAGTCTACAACGCAGTTGCTAGATTTCAGGGCACCGTGAGATCTGATGTCCGTCCCATGAAGGTAATGCATGCCCTGTATAAAAATCAATGGTAAAGTATACCTTTAAGAATAAGCATTCTAAGAAGTGCAAAAGTATAATGTATGTACAGGTTTGTGTGTCAATCTGCCATGCGTTCGATTAGTTGCATTGGTTTCCAATATTCTTTTCATTGAACAAAATCGACAAAATATAAAAAAAAATGTGAAATGTACAAAATTAAATATTGTGTACCACAAAGTCACAGTCGGATATTGATGGCTAATATGGAAAGTTATCGAACTTCTGGTAGTAACAGTGGTGTTCGATCTTCAAGTGTTGGCAGTCACACATGTATTAATGGTAGCGGAATTAAACAAAATAATTCTATTTAAATAATCAGTGATATAGTTTTCCGCAATATATTAACCTAGCTCAGGAAAATATATCTCTTTTGATCCTTTCTTTGTTGTAATAAAGGTAATGTTGACAATTATATATGTTTATATACTTGTTTAATAAATACCAACAAGTCTGACTAGTGTAATATAAAAATTTTGCAAACAATATTTGTCTAGTTATTTTGATCCCACGCACATTTATACGGTTTACCAAGGAACGTGCCCTGAAGCTATTATCATACCAAATTACACAAACATGTTGGAAATTTTACAAAATTACTAATAACTCTGGCCCGAGGCTTCACCCTCGTTATAACTGCCCACCTAGTTTTAAACTCACCTAGTTCGAAATAGAAATTTCGTAATAAAAAAAAATTTTCATTGCTAACTGGAACTATCCAATTACAAATATTTAATGAAAAACGAGATGTTTGTAGATACATTAGATAATAAATAGTAATTGTCTACAATTCTACGAGATAATTAACACATAAAAAAAAACTTTGGACACGAATCAAATCATGTGTCCACAAGTAGACTTTTCTTTGATCTAATTAATTTTTTGCTCCATAAAAGGGTCATAAAGTTACTTAATTTATAACTGATATGAGAACAAATTCTATTGACTTCATAAATAATTAAAATTTAATAATGAAATAGAAGTTATTTCAAAATGTTGCCACAAAAAATACAAATTTAAAATCTCGTACTTATTAAAATTCCTTTAATAATATTAAAGTAAATTAATATCAAAAAATCCTAGCAAGCTATATTTATTTATTTATTTCTTATTGCATTCCATAATGTGATTAGTAGATAACATTTCAACTTTAATTATGGACCCTGTTGGGCACTGCAAGTAGGAGAGAGAAGGACAACCCTTTTTTCACTTTAGAAATAGTTTAAGAGTTTGTTACAATATTATCCAGTCATTTAAATTTTATTACGACAGGTACGTTTTTTCTAAGTGTTATTATTATTCATTATTTAAGTATTGATATATATCTATTCATATTGTATTTAATCCATTAATAAAAATAAATTATATAATCGATTTTACTTCAATATAAAAGCGAATAACTTTGTTAGCATTACTTAAATTAACACACGTAATATCCTAAACTAGATTATTCAAAATACTATGTACATTATCAAGTTAAATACTTAACAAGAAGCTTAAAGTGGATTTAATTATAAGCGCCTTACCCTCACAATGTCATGCATCAGACTGACTTTGAACATCCAATCTAATTTTATGTTTTCATTTTCAAGTATATCTTGAAGGGATCCTTTGGGACAGTACTCTGTGAGTAGGCAACAGTGTGGCGGGTCCACACAAGCTCCGTAAAACCTGGCCAAATGGTCATGTTCTAAATCCTTCATTTTCTTCAGTTCCAGCAGTAGTGGTCTGGTGAGGTCTATGCGCTGTTTGTCCACTTTCTTAATAGCAACGCGGCAGCCTTTGTAGAAGCCACACGGGGCGAAGACTTGCCTGTCGCCCGGCAATGAAGCGGCCTCATCGGAATAACCAGTCTGGAAAAAAACAAGAAATGTGAATACATTTATATTAATAGGTGGATTTCATCATCATATCATATCAACTATTAACCGTCTATTGCTGAACATAGGTTTCCCCCTATTGGGAGGGTTTTCTAGAACTACCATGTTTGGCAGGGTTAGCAAACGCAGTTAAGCTTTGGTGATGGTTTAAGAGGGACAGCTATTAAGTTCCCTTAATCACCCCTTACGATGCCCATGAAAAAGAAAGGGGTGGCCCATTCTTTGTTGGGATCACACGATAGTTGTAATGTATGTTCGCCACCACTACCCTGAAACGCTTTTTCTGAAGAAGGGCCAAATTAAAAGTACCCATAACCGGCGAGCGTGTATGAAGATTGATAATTGTGGAAGAAGCGAAAGAGGTTTGTTTGTTTTGTAACTAACAAGCGTGTATAAAAAAATTGATAAATGTAAAGGAAGCGAAAAACCTCTACTTGAATCGAAGCATTTGGCGTTCCATTGCTTCTGCCTACCCTAATGGGAGACAGGTATGACCAATATATGTATGTATGTATGTCTCATCATAATTATTACTTAGCAATAACGAGAAAATTTTTTTATTCAAGTAAACTTAATTACACACATTTTTTCATACAAATATTTTTTTTTTATGATTCTTCCACCCATTCGGTTCCATTAAGATAAACACTTAATTGCAATTAACAACTGGTCATGACAACGCTAGGGTTCCCGCTAATTTTACCATAAACTCTTATAATAATAAACGTCCAATGCAGATTGAACCTTCAGGCGTTCGAGTGCCCTTTACCGGGAGCTATTAAATTAACAATTTAATTACTCTCGTAGCATGTAGTGGTCCGTCGGCTAGACTAGACTAGCGGCGAGATGAAAGAGATATACCGATTTTGTGATAATATCATATTCCGTAAATTATAAAACTCAGGGCTGTCAACGCACATATGACAGCCTCGTATGAGGGAAGAATATTGTTAGAAATGGGATCGTAGACCGCTGTCAGATCAACTTCCACGTGGTCCTCTTATAAAACATCGTGGTTAATTCCTGACGAATTCGTCACGATGAAGTGAAATGACATGGCATGGCATGACATGACATAATATGACATGACATGGCATGATATAACATGACATGAAATTAAATAAAATGAAACGAAACGAAATTAAACGAAATTTACTTGCCAGAAACATTGTAAATAAGATGTGGCATTTATCAAGTTTACAAGATGTCCATTATGTTTCGCGACATCAAATAACATGTAAATATTAACCATTGAACGATATGCCAACTAACCTAATTTTCATGCTCACTGGTGCATCGCTAGTGCAATGGAAAATGGATTTCGTTGTTTAAAAAAAAAATTAAAAAGTATAATTTGTTAAGCTAATAGTTTACCATTAGACTAACCGTATGCTTATCTACCACCATAGTTATCATCATTATCATCGTATCTGTCTACTGCTGGACATATCCCTCCCTCATTGACCGCCATAAGGAACAGTCCTGAGCCACCTGTATCCATTGACTACCTGCAATGCATTTGAGGTCGTCATTCCATCTAGTGGGGGGTCATCCTACACTGCGTTTCCCCATATGAGGTCGCTACTCAAGAACCTTTCTTCTACATCGGTCGTTGGTTCTTCGGGCTATATGACCAGCTAATTGCCACTTCAGCTTGCTTATCTTTCAGGCTATATCGGTTACCACTATAGTTATGTAAAAAAAAGGAAAAGCGCATCCTAATGAGGTCAATATACATATGTCGACGAAGGTAAGTAACACCAACAAAAAGAAGGTTATTATTAAAACCATTTATATTAAAGTCTGAAAATATTTACATTTTAATTAGGAGGGATTTAAGGTGCATTTTTCAATTATACAGACTTCGCCAGATTTCAATGATATTTTAATACTTTATTATCTATACTGTCGTTACATTATCGTCATCGTCATTATATCAGCCTTTAACTGGCCACTGATAAACATAAGCCTTCCCCTTAGGGGGTTTTGACAGTAGTTGCCATGCTTGGCAGGCGGATTAGTAACCACAGTCAGACTTTAGAGGTGTTTTAAGAGGAACACTGCTAACCTTCCCTTGCCCTCTCTTAGTCAGCTTTTACCACATTCACGGGATAGGAAGGGGCGGCCTATTCTATTCCGGGGCCACACAGCCAAATTTAATACTACAGTACAGGGAGGAAAGGAATTGTTAGTAATGGGGTCTAATTTGCCCATTACTAGCAATTCCATTGTTTCTGCCTACCCTAATGTGTGACAGGCGTGACAGATATGTATGTATGTATGTAGCAATACACCTTATCAGGTCGACCTCCACGCGGTTCCCCCTGGAAACTCGTGGTTAATTCTAGTGGAATTCGTCACGATGGGCTAACTGACCTGCTTTCATCATCACCTATCATCCCTCACTGGTGCCCCGCCAGGATATACCGTTAGTGCAGGTGGGGTTACCATACCATTATTATGCATCAAAAAAAATACTACAGTACATAAAAAAAAATTGTTTCTGGCTGCCGGAAGCTGGTATAATTTTTTCACGGATATATTTTCTCTACATTATCATGAATCATACATGTGTCATAATTGTTTTAAAACTGTTTACAATTCAACATAAATGAGTACAATTTAACTGAATAATTATACCACAGTATAAATTGTACTAAGCAATTAAGAGGCCCATTTCATAGGTGCGCTTCATATGATAAAAAGTACCTACTTCAGAGGGCGGTAGGTACAGATGGAAGAGGCCTCTTAAATACTTATTTATTTTATTAAGAGGCCCCTTTCTTCGGAGCACTTCACATGATAAATAGCACTTATTACGTGGAGAGGCACAGAACTCTTTACGTATCCCCCCAGTGTTGCCAGATTGGGTACTTTTTTCGCAATTTTAGAATAAAAATATTCTATTTATGAAATTTTGGGAGAAAATCGAAATGGGTTTGTAGAAATTGGGGTAAATATTTTGGCAATTTTGGTACTTGTAAATCGTATAGCAGTATGTAAGAAAGACTCTGTTTTCCGCACTTAGCCTCTCAATAGCAGTATAAAATATATAAATGAAGGTAGCAAAGCACGAAACGGAATATAACAAGAAAGCAAGAACGTAGGGACATGCAGAAGCACGGTGCTTTTTTTTTATCGTTTGCTTTGTGATTCATGGTAAAACGTATTTGAAAAAAATACTATAAATACTAAAATTTTGCATGCCATTGTTTTGGCTAAACAAGCATATTCATAACATATTATTACTAGCATCTGTATACCGTGTTTTTCAGCAAATAAATAAATTATTGTTATTATTGTTATAACGTAATGAAATTCGATAGACGTTTAAGAATGGGTAAATATAAAGAAAATCTTATTAATTTGGAGAAAATTATTTAACATTTGGGTAAAAATAAAAATCACAACTGGCAACCCCGGTATACCCTCACTGCGTTCATAAAAACTAGAATGTTTACAATATGTTATTTTAATAAAATCTAAAGAAATCTCTGTTGCTATTGTATGGGTTGCATGATTTAAGAAACTAGTGTAAACTAGTTTACGACGTAAATCAATTAAATCGAACACAATACCATTTTACTTGACAATCGGAGTTACTCATAAGATTTTGAAGACTAGAAAGCGTTTAAACTAATGAATATTGTAATTTTTGGTTTTCCAATTTTGACCTTTATTTTTTTAACATTTACTTTTTTTTATATATTTTTATTATCACATATAGAATCAACAACTTATGTCTAAATTAATTAAAATATATTATATTTACAATATACCTATTCCAATTACAAATTTCCATTTTATATACTAAATAATGTTATACTTATTTTTTATATTATAATATGTTCCTGATATGTTATTTTGTATTCTGTCACTGTATCTTAAAATGAGTATTGCAGTATACTATAATAAAATAAAAAAATCCTGTAGATTCATTTAATTAAGTATGATCATCATTATACTAGCCGTTAACTGTCCGCTGTTGAGCACGGGCCTCCCCATATTGGAGGTTTTACCAGTAGTGGTCAAACTTGGCAGGCGCCCGCCTGATAGCGGCAATTAGGCTTTGTTGATGTTTTAAGAGGGACGCTGCTGCCCATTCCACCATTTAATCATTAAATTCCCTTAGTAGCCTGTTACGAAACCCACAGAAAAGAAAAGGGTGACTCATTCTACGCCGGGGCCACAGAGAAAATATTTAAGTATATCATACTACTTCAAGACAAATGGATATTTGTTACTCTTTCACGCAAAAGCTACTGAACGGCGTGAATTGGCGTGAATTTATTGGGTACAGAGGAATAACACCTGAGTCCTCAGGAATGACAACGCATGGGGGGTATCATGGGTGAAACAGTATACTCTGTTATATCCATGGTACTGCTCATGTCTATAGGCGACGGTTACCAATTTCCATCAGGTGGGCCGTCAGCTTGTTTGCCATTCAAAGTAGTATAAAGAAAACGGATTTGAATTAAATTAGGTATACCTACGGGTAGGTTATATCCTAACTTTGCACAACAATATTTTATATATTGATTCACACGAGTGAAGACACGGGATACAGCTAGTAAACGATCATCTTGAAATTTGACACATATCTAGTATTTACAACGAAAAAGAACACCACGTTCTATAAGGTTGACTGGTACAGAATGCTACTAACATTAAGTCCGCCTTTTGGACCATATTTTATTTGGATCAATAAAGTTATTTAAATAAATAAATACTCCAGCCTTTCCAACTAATCTATATTGCGAGGCGGATAAACGCTAATAACTGTTACAATAACGTTAACTTGGCTTTATTCCAAATTTGTTCATTAAAATAATGAAAATGAATAACATTTATTGGAAATGGCTAAATGATTTAGAAATAAAAAATAAAAAAACACGGAAAAAGGCAAAAGGAATTCAACGTAATGATTATAAGTACACCTTTTATTTAAGAGGTTACAAATTTCATTTTGTCGTAAGCGTAAAAGCAATTTACAAGAACGAACGATTATAGGATTCGAATCGAAGCAGGATCTAGGGAAATACTTTTTATTGTTAAGCAAAAATTACTACACTGCGATAAGGAAATCTTGTTATTTGGTAGGGCTTAAAGAAATAATCCCTATCAATACGAGTATTAACGAGCGAGCGCTTTTCGTTCTTTTATTTATTTGCTAGCAATTCGCCCGCTACTTTGTATGCCTGAATTTTAAATAGATAGATAGATAGATACTCTTTATTGTTTCCTCCTATTTATGTATAATAAACTTAGATACAGTATTAAACTGTGAGGAAACAACTATAATTATAATGTGAAAAAGGCTTTCAGGTTGCAAAAAAAGAGCGATTAGAACTATCGCTCGGATTCCGCAGTGGCAGTCTTGTAGGACTTTTTTTTTTCAAAATATAGCATTCTTACTGTACCCAGTTTATATATATTGATTGTGGTTACAGACTATGTTAAAAATCGTCTGCCAAGAAAATGAAACCAGACAAGAGAGAAATATTCGCATGATTTCTAGACGAAAAGATGTTGCAACCAAATGATATACAACCAAAACTAAATATAGTAAAACATGGCGCAAAATTCACAAGCGGTTAAATTGTATAATACATTACCCAATGCATTAAAAACTGTTGACGATTGGAGAATTTTGAAAATAAAACTTTATACTCTTTTGTTGGAAAGGTGCATCTAGTCAATTGATGAATTTTAAAAGATTAGATCTCGAATCCTTTTAACGTAACACGCAATTTTAATATGTATTGTATACTATGATTTACTAATGACATTTGTTTATTTTGTAATTTTTGGACAATTATTATTGATTATATTGTTGCTTCATATTTTAGTTTAGTAGTTTTTTTTCTAGTTCGGTTTCGGTATATATTGGCGGGGCATCAGTGAGGGATGATAAGTGAAAATGAAACAGGTCAGTTAGCCCATCGTGACAAATTCAACAATGAATCAATCACAATGGTTTCTAGGGGGAACCGCGAGGAGGTCGACCTGATGGGGTATATTGCTAGTAATACGGTTGGTAATCCCCATTACTAACAATCCCTTTCCCCCCTGTAGTTATTGGGCTAACCCTTTACAGAGCTATGTTGCATAACTGCAACATTTCAACTAAAATGAATATAAAGTTTAGTAGTTTATATATATAATTATATCTCAATCACTTTCTAAAGTACAAAATCTACATCTTAGAAATGTGATGACTACAAACAATTGTTACTAATCTAATAAACCAACCGTGAACTGGCGATTAATCACTGGACTATATTGAATCGCAAGCAACCATTGTATAATGCCAGTCATCCGAATATGACGACAGATGTGTGACGTCACCACGAGATATATTCATCCTGTCAGTTCGGAACAATTAAACACAGACGAAAAGAGGCATTCGCTCACTCCACTTACATGCCTATGATTATTGGAATAGTTGAAAATTATTATGCTATACATTCATTTATTTCTATTTGAGTGCTGTATTCTTGTCGGTGGAGCTCTTGCCAGTTACAGTTTGTAGCGAGTCTCATCACCTCTTGATACAGTATGACACCAAATTTTTCCTTGATCTACCTGATGTAACTATGTCTTTGTCTCCCCCTTCTTCTTCCCTCTATCTTACCTTCTATTAAAACGTTTATAAGGTTGTCGTGTCGTATCAAGTGTTCCAACATTTTTCTCATTTGACCTCAATAGTTTTTATAATTTGTCTTTTTTCCTTAACCCTAAGTAGAACCTTGTCATTATTAATTCGATTTTTCGAGCAAATTTTCTCCATCCTTCTGCAGAGCCACATTATAAAGGCTTTAGGTTTTTCTATTCCTTTCTGGGTTAGTATCCACGGTTTACATCTATATAAAGCTACACTCCAGATATAGTTCTTAATTAATGGAGCACAAATGACAGTGCTATGTGAAAGATAAAAGTTAGTGTAATACCCATATAGGTATGGGGGGTATCATGGGCGAAACAGTGTACTCTGTTATGTCTATGGTACTGGTCATGTCTATAGGCGACGGTTACCACTTTCCGTCAGGTGGGCCGTCAGCTTGTTTGCCATTCTAAGTTGTATAAAAAAAAATATTTTGAAAATTGTCTCAAACCAATTAAATCAAACATATACGGTCATCATATCCGCCATTATCTGTCCACTGTTGAACATAGGTGTCTTCCATAAGAGGAGTTTTACCATTAGTTGCCACGCTTGGCAGGCAGTTTGGCAAGCGCTTACTAACTTACTAAGCAATTTATAAAACAGTTTATTAAAACAGTGTTTAACAAAACTCTAAGTTATTGTTTAGACAGTGTAATTATTTGTATCTATACGTAAGTAAATAATCTATAATATGTAGGTAAGCTATATTCCGCAACTCCACTCGCTCGAATCAGTATATAAAGTTTTGTAAGTGCTAAGTTAAGAGATAACCTATTCGTGTACGAAACTTAATACAAATTCGTTTAGTATTTTTTGCGTGAAAGAGTAACATCCATCCATCTATCCATCCACCCATCCATCGATCATTGCAAACTTTCGCATTTATTTGTTCAAGCAGTTTTTACCTTCATGTTCGCACCTACATATTACTTGCTCTTTAACTGCGTGTGAATTCCGCTAATGTAGATGTTAAAATATTTTCAGATTTTACCTTTTTATTACATTTGTCGTTTTTTTTTAACATATTGAACTAATAAAAAATATATATCATCATCATCATCACCTTCATCATCTCTGCGATTATACAAAAGAAAACACAATATAAGAAAGAGATTTAACTAGTGTTGGCAATAAGAGCGTTAAAAGCTTTATATATACCAAGAGGTATGAAGGTTATTGATGAATGATAATTAAACAGCAACCCTGCTTGCGCTGTCAGTATATGCTAATGGAAGACAAGTGATGTATGACAGGTGATGAAGGCAAGTCAGTTCGTTCATCATGAAGAATTCAGTAATAATTAATCATAATGGTGTCCAGAGGGAAGTTTATTTGACAGGAAATAATGCTAGCAATGTGGTCACTAGTCGCAGTTATCAACAATCTCTTTCCGTCACTTTACTTTGCAAAAATTTCAAACATTCAAGGATACTCACTCCAGTACTGAATCTGCGTGCTAGAGAATGCATGCTGCCACGGAATCTGCCGCTAGGGTGCAGCACGTCTGTCCAGCTGACGCGCCACGTCATCATTGCTATCTCCGCTTCCAACTTGTAATGCCTGGTGGAAAATATAGTCACGTTATTTACTACTCACTTTTTGGATGATGCAAGAACAAACATATAGACAGACACGAACAAATATGTTTTGGTTTCTTTTACTCTCTTCTTTTACTTCTTCTTCTTTTATTTTCTTTTACTCTTATTAAATCTATCGTTTAAATTTTTCTTAAATATTTTTAAATATTCTTTCATATACATGCAATGTCCAGTTGTCTAGTTACATTTTATTTATATTATTAATTATTATATATTTTTGTTTTCTCCGTATAATTGCTTAAAAATCGCAGTTAGGCTTTGCTGTTGTTTTAAAAGAAATGCTGCTACCTATCAATCGACTATTAAGTTCCCTTAGTCGCCACTTACGACACCCACGGAAAAAAAAGGGGTAGCGGTACCGGGTACAAACGGAAATAAAGGCTGATAGGTTTAAATATAAAAAAAAAATCTAATAAATTGAATAAAAACCACTTAATTATATCATAATATTTTTTTCGTGATGAGAATTGTTTACTTAAATAACATAAAATATACTTATTTTATTGTTTTATTTTATTATTTTTTTAAGGCTATTATAGCCTTACATCTGATTTGATTGTGAATTTTCCTTATGTAATAGTGGTGTAATTGCCCTTTATTTCCTTATTCCAGTTTTACACGAGGAAAAAAATGTGTCATATTGTTTCTTTATACTATTCATTAAACAGACAGACAAAACCAACTATTTCGATCATGATATAGTAATTTTATATATTTATTTAAAAGAGATGACTGTTATATGTTTCATAGATACATTAGATTTGAAAAAAAAAATAACTAGAATAAATTTAAATTTATTTTGTGAAAACAAAAGATTTAATATTTTGTTTGTAATGGATAAGCTCAAAAAATTGCTAATAGATTTTAAAAATTTATTCACTTACAGGAAGGTACATTATCAGCGAGTAACATGCCTATGTTTTATGTTCAAAAAATCGTACAAAGTCGGGACCAGCTGCTAATTTTAACTGTCATTATATAGAATAAAGATTTGATTTTTTGTATGTTTGTTTTTAATGGGTATACTCAATAACACTTAACCGATTTTAAAAATTCATATACTTGTAAAAAAAACTACATTATCAGAGAGTCATATGGAATGTATTTTATAAAAAAAAAAACAAACAAAAATAAGGCGACTCGCTAGATTTTTATATAATTCAAATTTTTAATAATACGATAAGCAGGATATTGCTGTGGTAAAGGCAATGACAACAGTACCAATACTGATAAAATTCATATGGAAACAAGAACTTTAGGATAAAATACAGGCACAAATTTACGGGTTACCATCATAACAGCCTTGGGGAGTTTTGCCAGTAATTGTCACACTTGTCCGACGTATTGACTACTGCAATACGTCTTTGAAGATGTTGTATATAGGGACACTGCTGATATATATATATATATATATATATATATATATATATATATATATATATATATATATATATATATACAGCAACTCGGGCATGCGGGCATGCATCACCCACAACACCAAAGACATTGCAGGTATGCTGCCGGCCTTTTAAAAAGGAATATGCTCTTTTTTCTTAAACGTTTTTTATATAAATAGCTAGCTCTTTTCTGATGAAATGAAAGAAAGCGCGTCATATTTATCTATCGAATGGTATCAAAATGTCAAAACTGCCAAAAAATTACTTACGCAAGATAAGAACTTTACTGACGATAAGCTACTTTGTACTCTACTCTAGTCAGTGACCATAACCTAGTCATGCAGACGATGTCGTGGGCAAAAGCCAGTAAAATTCGTAAGAATTATTAATTTTAACAATAACCGAAAATCTATTCAAAAAGAAAATATAAAACTTCTCTCTCCTGTATTGTTTCATTTTCAAAAGTTGTTTGATGATCATATTTTGGTCAGTATATAATAAATTCCAGTGATAAATAAATCTTAGTCCATAAATCGTTTGGCAAGTATTATACACTGACCTAAACATTTAAAATAGATATATATTAGACTATAATACATATATATATATATATATATATATATATATATATAGTCATTAAACACAAAATGCACATATTTGTAAATTATGCATTATAACAAAAATCATACAATTAATTTTGGGAGGGTAGTTTGAACCCAAATAGTACCAAGTTGGTAACATTCATATTAGTTATTACTATTAGCATCTCTCTTGTATTGAAATTACTCAATTATGTATCAGCCAGTATACACAATCAGACGTATTTGCCTTCAACTTGTTGGAGTTTTGTCGGATGACCACAGTTGTGTTGTTTGCCACCATTGTAGTATAAAAAAACTAATGTAGCGAATGAAGGTATGTGACCTTCTAAATACGAAACAAGTGATAATATTTTTTACATGATTTTCTATTTGATCAGATATTTTGTCCTAGGATTCGATCATTATGAAAATGGAAAGTGGTAACCATCACCTCTATATATAAAATTGATAATCTCCGTGGTGCTGTGGTATGTTGCTTTGCATAAATAAGATTCCTGGTTCGATTCCCAGTCGGTCAATTTTAAGAAACGAAATTCTTCGAATTTGGTCGAGTTTGGGTATTTTGGATTGAGCCTCAGATGTGTCGGTAGCTTAATTCCTCATAAAGTATCTCAGGTATTTTAAAGTTTGAAAATAGAATGGTTACTCCGCCCGCGCTATCGGTGTACGCTGGCGGGGCACCAGTGATAGGCGATTAGTGAGGATGAAGGCAGGTCATCCCAGTCGAAGGTCCATCGTGAAGAATGCAACAAGAATTAATCACGATGGTTTCCAGGGGAAACCGCGTGGAACCCATTACTGAAAAACTCTTTCCCCCCAGTATCTTAGGTAGACGGTCAGGTAATTAGTGTATTCATGGAAAAAAAAAATTTTTTTATACCACTGAGGTGTCAAAAAAGCATACCCGTAGCATAACCCTCCTGATGGTAAGCGGTTGGTGTTTTCATGGAAAAAATATATGAACAGCATTATTTACAATAATTTTCCTTAAGACAGTCTATGGGGATTATGTTCAGCAGTGGACAGGTAACGGCTAAAATGATCATGAAAATTTAAAATACACTTTCACGAAAACCCTGTATTACCATTCTATTCCATTTATTGCGTGTATGGACGTTTTAATTTTAGTTTCTTATTCATACATCCTTAAAATCAAAACACAGTCATGTATGCACAGCTGTTTGATGGAAGAAACACAAGTGAAACAAGGGGACCCATGCAAATAACTTACATAAACTCATTTGCATGGGTCCCCTTAAAATATAGTAGCTACTATATATGATTATAAAATACCATAAAATAATAATATTCTATTTCAGAAAAGTCATGTATAATAAATTTACTATATTTATTAAATTATTATTATTATATAACTATATAGTTAGGAAATATCATCATTAATTTAACTATTTTTCTGAACTAGCTGTTTTTCGGAATTCCTTATTTTTATTGCTTAGAATTATTTTGTTTAATTCCGCTACCATTAATACATACGCTACTGCATTAATTACTGCAAAGACTGACTACTATTATTATTACCAGAAGTTCTACAACCTTCCATGTTAGTCATCAATCACCTACTGCCATTTCGTTCACGCACGTTTAGCGATATATATTTTACCTCTAATCGAGACATGTTCAGGCAAATTTATAGATCATTGCTCAGAGCCTAGTCAAACGACTTCAAAAAGAAGGAGCTTCTCAATTCGGTTACCAGAGGGTGACTTTGTACCGTTTGCTTGAGCACCTCTGTCCCTTTCGTGTTTTTACCGTGAAGCAGTTGAGTTTTGCATGTGTTTTGGTTTGAAGGCTGGAATATGGCAGTGTATTTACAGGGTACAGAGGAATAACACCTGAGTCCTCAGAAATAGCAACGCATGGGGGGTATAATGAGCGAAACAGTACACTGTATTATGTCTATGGTACTGCTCATGTCTAAGGGGCCAGCGACCACCTTTCAAAAGGTGGGCCGTTAGCTTATTTGCCATTCTAAGCTGCATAATTTTTTTTATGTTTGTTATTTCATGCCACCATCAGTTATAAACCGATTTACAAAATTCTGAATGACAGAATCTGAATTCTGAATTCTGAATACAGATTAATCTTATGGAAATATCAAATTCGATAGAGTATTTAATTTAATTTAAAATATGGGTTTTCGCTATAAATGAAGTCGGATTTTTTTGTAAAATACAACTTATTACTCTACAAAAAAGCATTGCTATAAACAAATTATTTTCATAATAATTAATAAATGATTAAATAATTATAATTAAATAATTATTCGTGTGATAATAAATTATGCTTAAATAATTAAAATACTTTGAAAAAATATTTTAGTAGAGACAATACCTAAGTTTTAAAGCGTGAGAATAGAATGGTAGTCCACCTACACTATCGGTATACGCTGATGGGCCAGTTAGAGATAATAAGTGAAGATAAAAGCAGGTCAGTTCGCCCATCGTAACAAATTGCACAAGTATTAACTATGACGGTTTCCAGGCAGAATCGGGTGGAGGTCGAGCTGATAGGATGTATTGGCAGCAATCAGGCAATTAGATCTTATTATTAACAATGTGTCTTGTCTCCTTGTCCCCATCAAAATACCTATGTACGTATTGTATCTAAGGAGTATTCCTTTAATGATTAATCCACGTTGATGAAAGACATGTTTGGATAAAATTATTGTGGAAGGGAGAATCATTTTTCTTCCCAATGATTTTTAGAATACTGTCCAAACTGTCTTGATCATCAAAGTATATACTGTGATAACATGCTACTTTTTATGTCTGTAGGCGATGGTTACCACATTCCATCACATGAGCAGCTTGTTTGCCATTCTTTGTCGTATAAGAAAAGTCTCTGTACTTTATGCATCAATAAATGGGAGATTGTACACATTTATAAACAAAAACATAAATAAAAGAATTTTTAGAATTGCGTTTTTTTTTCTTAATCTCTTGTTTTCTTCTAGTAAATAAATTTTCTTTCCATTGACTTATTTCACAGTAAAAGTTATTGTCGACAATAATTTTTTCCGCAACATTAAACACATTTGCTTTTCCGATAACAAAATAATAGAGCACCATCCAACATGGATCTAACAGAAACTAATTCGCGAAAACGTGCGGCCAAATATATATTTTATTTGTGGAACATATGAAAAGAATTTTTGTACAAACAAAAATCAGATTTCCTGATAATGGAGAGAAAATGCAATCACGAATTGTTTGTGATAGATTGTAGGGAATTATTTTCTTGGCCCTTTTGATGTTGCCGCTATTGGAAAATAGTTTATTTGTAATATATTTAATAAAACTTATAGTGTGCATGATGTACTTTTTTGGTTTCCTTTTAAACTTTATTAAAAAAAAAGTTTTAGTTTGTGATTTGAAGTTTCGCCCACATGTATGCTGGTATGGAAACGCGGTGTTTTTAGAAAGATAATATAATTATAAAAAAATATATACAAAGCAAACTAACGGAGCAAAAGAAGTGAACAAAACAAAACTAAACTGACAGTAACTTCAAATCACAAACAAAAACTTCTTTTTAATAAACGACTAGTGGCCAGCTTCGACTTGACATGATTTTTTGGAAAACAAAATTATTCGCTGATAATGTAGCTTTCTATAGGTAAAAGAATTTTTAAAATGGGTTAATTATTTTTTCATTTTATCAATTACAAAAAAAAGTCTCTATGTAACATTACTTTAAACTAAGGTTCTTAGTGAAATTTATTAAATTTCATGAATTAAATTACTGGATTTTGGTTGTTTACCTATTACAATTAATTTTTTATATACAAAATCATACAAAATTAATTGAGGTATTTAGCCTTCATTTCTAAGTCTTAAGTAAGCATGTATTTTTTTTTATTTACTACTTTAATAAAAAAATTATTTATTTATTATAATTCATAATTTTTATTTCATAATCTCTAAAAATGCAACCTAATCTGGAATTAGCTGAAGAACTGCTAGCGGAGATTCATTCTCCATTCAAGCTAGAGATTTACTAATGGAGAATGAAATTCAAGCTAAAAACTGCTTGAAATTTTATTACTAATTAAAATTTTAAAAAGTTTGATATAAATGTACATAGATGAATAAATAAAGATAGATATACATAGTATAACCAAGAACAAATATGTACACATTCACACACATATACACCTATGTGTAGTATATATGTATATTCTCTCACTCTCTCTATGTGTACACACACACACACACATACACACACACACACACACACACACACACACACAGAGAGAGAGAGAGAGAGATGATATCTTTAATTTAAAACGCTACAATACTAAAATTTATTTATAAAAAAATATTTTCATAAATGTAAACACTTCACATACCTGTATATAAACACTGATAAAATCGCCAGAACCACCACCACAGAGCTGAGTACGATACTCAGTATCGCGTAAACTGGTAGGGCTGAAACAAAAGAACTACTTTAAAGATTTTACTTCACAAAAATCAACAACTTCAATAAATGAGTAAAATTTGTCATAAGTTTAGACTTATATAGAAACTTAAATATGATGAAATTACAGGATATGGGGGTGAAATGCCTTTTGTCCTTATGAATGATATATGTTTACTGGTACAGAATCTTAATTATTATTATTAATTAGTAAGATTAACGGTGTCCAATAAATGAAATATTTTCTCCTGAATGTGCCTCTAACCGTCGTCATTAGGTACGTGAGCCTTTTCAGATTGGCGGTTGGAATGGAAAGCATTTACGACTTATGCCTATATGGTACCTAGTGGAAATATATGGAATTTCCAAATACTCAATATTTATGCCTTTTCATACCTACACGTAATATGTACTTCATAGATTTATAGATATATCACTGCAAATACAGTTAGATTTATTGTAATACTAGCTAAACTCGTGACTTCGTATAACTGAGACAGATGAAAACAAATAAGCATAGTAACTGACATTTTTAACTGACTTCAAAAAATAGCGTCCTCAATTCACTTATATTTTTTTATCTCATAACAACATCTATAAATCGATTTGGATTATTATATTTTTTTATTTATTTACTTTTATTTTTTTTATATATATTTTTATTAAATAAAAACCAACAGCTATAAAATTTATTTTTAAAAACAATAGTAAAGATAAAAAACCAATTACAGGCTTTCACAAATAAAAACAAATTTTAACTACATACGTATAAATAACATCGGTAATACGTATAATTGAACAAATTAAACTTGAAGTAATAAGTACGAATATTGTTAAATAAAAAAAATTTGAAGAAAAAAAAATCAAAAGAACCGCTGACACGTCTTTATTTATTACAAGAATCTACAGCGGTATAAAAATTAAAGTGTTAAATTTTTTTATGCAACATAGAATAGCGAACAAGCTGACGGTCCACCTGATGGAAAATGGTAACAGTCACCTATAGACATCAGCAGTACCATAATAATAAAGTATTGTTTCGCCCATGATGTGATGATAAATATCCTATCTAAGTTAGGATATTACCTACCTGTATACCAAGTTTCATTCTAATCCATTCAAAAATTTATGCGTAAAATAGTGACAAACGTCCGTCCATTCATCTGTCATTAGAAACTTTTGCATTTATGATCTTAATTAGATAATAATAATACCTTTACCTATTAGATTTTATTAATACTATAATAATAGTTCACAATAACCCGTTATGATTAACCCGAAAATATAATCCTATTTAAATCATGACCACGCAATATTGAAGAATAATATAATATTCTATTTTCTTAAAAAAATCAACATTATGCATTGGAGCACGAAAAGGGGCTGAAGTCAAATTATCGGTATAAAGCAGATAATAAAAGTTAATTTTACGGCGAAACGAACTTGCCCCTGGGCTCATATTGCGAGTGTAAGGTAAGGAATTTCTTACAACCACTATAACATGTTACTGAGCAACTATAAACATAAAACAAGCGAATGCTCAATGTAATAGCTGTTGTGTTTGTAAAATATGAGTCAAATACAAAAGTAAAATAATCACGTACATTATTATGTTATTGTTATGTACATTGTTGTACATTATTGTTGTTTTTATTTTAGCCGTTAACTGTCTACTGCTGAACATAAGCCTTCTTCATAAGGGGAGCTTTGCTAGTAGTTGCCACGCTTAGCAAGCGGGTTGACAACAGCAGTTAGACTTTTTGAGATTTTTTAAGAAACAAACGCTGTTGCCCATCCCTCGCCCTCCCTTAGTCGTCTCTTATGTTACTCACGGGAAAGGAAGGGGTGGCTCATTCTATACCGGGACACACACGCCGAATACTGTTAACTTTGAGATTTGAAGGAGTATTTGTTCAGTTTCTTGCACGTTCTTCTCATTAGATAGCAACATTCCAAACCCAGCAGTAGAATCATAAAAAAATTATGATTTAAAAGAGTTTGTAAACGAGCATATTTAAATAAAGATTAATTGTATTCTAATTAATTATATTGTCATAATATAATTAGGTAAACATTTGTATTAAATAAGTCAATAAAAAAATTACTTTGATACTGACAAAATTAATATCTTTAATTTGTATCAGTTTTAATTTCCAAATATTTCTATCAGTATTAATTTCCAAAAATAATTAAAGAATGTCTCCTACAAAAAAAAAAAATATCGACTTCAATTGTGACAAAATCGTTCTGAAAAAAAGTTGTTCTTATTCAAAAATTAAACTATTGGACCGATTTTGATAAAATTTCTACCAGACCAAACTGGAATATCGTTTCAGATAAAAAAAAAAATTCCCAAATCGGTTTACAACTAACAAAGTTATAAGGCAAAATAAGGCAATGAACATAAAAAAATACAACCGAACTGAGAACTTCCATCATTTTGAAATTGGTTAAAAAGCAGCTATTAAACAATCGTGACTAAATTAATATGAGACTGACACATATTGACGTTTTTAAAAAAAATACACTTTAGTAAACGGTTGGCTGACCTTTTCTGGCACTCAATACTCCATTTAGAAGTATATAATCTAAGGTCGTAGCAAAACCTCGCGCAATGATGAATTAGTACGTGGGTAGAATAATGATGGACGGTTTTCTGAATGATCGCGGACATATAACCATTTCTCGTACTATATTTACCGTCGGAATCCATTTTAGTACCTTTTACTTTCATTCGGTGAGATGCAAGTGTTTTTAAAGATCTTTCACAATTGTCTGCATAAAGCAAAGAAAAAAATTTAATTTTTAGAGATACTGGTTCTAAACAATTAAAGGTTTACCTTCTGATTCCTAAATTATATAAATGGATTTATTATATGATAAATTCCTTATATTAAAGAAAGTGTTTTTGAAGGTGTTGGCGTGTGGTTCCGGCATACAATAACCCAACTCCTTCCTATCCAGTCGATGTCGTAAGAGCCGACTAAGGGAGGGCGATAGATGGGCAGCAACGTTACTCTTTGAAATATCTCTAAAGCCTGATTGCGGTTGCCAACCCGCCTACCAAGCGTGGCAACTACTGGCAAAACCCCCCCAGGTGGAGCTTATATTCAGCAATGGACGGATAAAAGCTGATATGATGATGATGATGATGAAAGAAGGTGATTTAAATTGTCACTTTGCTCATTCATCACCATCATCATATAAGCCGTTTACTGCCCATTGCTGAACGTAGATCTATACACAGTAGTTGCTACGCTTAGATAAGCAAGCCAAAGTAGCAATGGTAGACCGATGAGATGGGAAGAAAGATAGATGGGCAAACGCAGTGTAGACCGACCACCCACTAGATGGAGTGACGAACTCAACCTCTTTGTTTTTAATTTTCTTTTTCTTTTTTTGCAATTTTCTATTACAGTTTGATTCCTTAATCATCTCTTACTGTATCTTAAGGATAATGACTACTCGTACATTTTATTCCACAAAAAAGCAGCGACTTCATTCGTCGAAAATCAAATTATTTCTATTTAAAAGTAGAACTATTGAACTGATTTTATGAAATTTATATAAATAATCTGAAAGTATATTCCTACTAACAAAAAAAGAATCTTCCAAATCGGTTTATAAATGACAGAGTTCTGAGATAACAAATATAAAAAATGTAATCAAATTTAAAACCTCCTTCTTTGTTGAAGTTTATTAAAAAGGAAAGGAAACACATTGTAGTTTTATTCTACCACCAAAGTACAACCAGAGAGAGACTTTGTACAAAAGTAGTTTACTTGGGCACCTCTGTCTCATTTGAGTTTCTACCTTCACGGTACCAGTTGTGTTGGCATCGCTGTTTCGGTTTGTTGAAGGGCGGGATATGGCAGTGAATTTACATAATACAGAGGAATAACACCTGAGTCCTCAGGAATGGCAACGCATGGGGGCTAACATGGATAAAACAGTATACTTTGTTATGACCATGGTACTGCTCATGTCTATAGGCGACGGTTATCACTTTTTATGAGGTTGGGCTGTCAGCTTGTTTACCATTTTAAGTGTCATAAAAAAAAACTAAAAAAAAAACTTTCGTCTTTATAATATTAGTTTAAATATCAATAGTTCACATCAGAGATAGAATAGCTGTGCTCCATATTCTTAAAAAATAAAAATAAAAAATGAATGCCTAATAATATAAAATGGGTCGTATCTTATTTACATATTACTGAACGAAATGAAATCATCGTTACTATTTTTATTTTTATATTTCTTATTATTTCTATTTCATCTGATATCCAGAATTCCTATAACGTTTATTAATATCTATTATAGATGAAACGATACTGTCAAAGGAGTTGAATAAAAACAAACAGTTTAAGTGAGTGCTTTGATTCAGATGCTCCGTAAACACCAGGGTTATGAGGCAATGTAAATTTACATGTCAGAAATGGGAAATTACATTTTGACTGTGGTAAACACAGCGATTGGTTTACTTTAAGTTATTCCAAACTCTGTTACTATGGCAGGTATTTATTTTACTAATAATCTAGATTCCGACGCTTGCGTGAATATTGATTGGGTTTACGATAACCGACAGTCAGGGGGAAAGAGATTGTTAGTAATGGAGACTGAGAATCTCATAGCTAGCAATATATCCAACCAGGTCGATCTCCTCGCGGTTCTCCCTGGAAACTATCATGGTTAATTCCTGATGAATTCATCATGATGGGCTAACTGGCCTGTTTTCATTCTCATCTATCACCCTTCACGGGTACTCCGCCAACGTATCCCGTTAGCGCAGGCGGGGTTACCATTCCATTTTCACCCATCAAAAAAAAAATAACTGACAGTCAGGGAGAAAGGGATTGTTAGTAATGGAAATCTAACAGCTCCTTTACTAGCAATGTAACTTATCACCTTAAACTTCACAAGGTTTTCCCTGGAAACCTTTTTGGTTAATTATTTATGAATTCGTCGGTATGGGCTAATTGAACTGTTTCATTCTTACTGATGTACTACGTATTACTAACAATCCCTTATCCCCCCTGGCAATATACCCTGTCAGGTCTACCTCCACTTAGTCTCCCCCTGGAATCCATTATGCTGAATTTCAGATGTATTCATCACGATGGGCTAACTAACTGCCCTTTCATCCTCACATGTCATCCCTCACTGGTGCCCCTTCAGTGTACACTGATAGCGCAGACGGGGCTCTCATTCTATTATCATCAATTAAAAAGAAATAACCAGCGGGCCAACATTTGCATTCGAATTGGATTCTAATCGAAATGGGATTAATTTATCCTATATGATTTTGGTTTTTCACGAATTTCAGTTTTTTTTAATTTTAATTAACTTAAGATTTTCTTCTACAAAAATACGGGCTTCAATAATGGCAAAACAAGGAATCTATCATGAAATAAAATTCCGAATTTTAGGACTCAATTTCATGTTTTCATTTATACTGAAATCAACCCAGTAAATGGAGCTTAACGTTTTATTTGTCATAAATCCCACCATAAAAGTCCAAAGGAACGATATTTTAACATTTTTAATGTCTTTAAATGTATTATAAAATTTCAACGTTCAAATTTGTGTTGTGTTTGGACCTGAAATTTCGAAAAACATTTCATGGTTGATCCCCAGGTTATTTTAATTTGAAAACTAAACTGATTTTGAATGTATCTATGAAACTTCTTGACATTCTTAAATAAGACCAATACATGCCAAAACTATATTTCTTTAGAATTTTTTTCTGTCTGTCTATCTGTATGTTGATTCCAGCATCACAAAAAACTACTATACCAAATTAGATGCAGTTTTCACAATTGCATTTCAGAATTTAAGTCAGTTTAATTCTGGTATATATATTTTATCTTGATACATTATCTAGTTTATTTCATTTCTTCATCATAAAATTTGTTGGTGCGATTTAAAAGAGGTAGCAAAACAGGACACTGTTGAACATAGGCCTCTTCCATAAAGGGTGGTTTACTCCTAATTGCCAAGCTTGGCAGAAATTATCAAATAGAGGATTAATAAAACAATTAAGAAAGTTTATAAGGACGGATAGATAGATGAATGCTACTCTTTCACGCAAAAACTCCTGAACGGATTTGAATGAAATTTGGTACACTACTGGTAGGTTATATCCTAAAGCAGATAGGATACTTTATATACTGATCCACATAAGTAGAGCCGCGAGATACAGCTAGTATTGTATATATGACAGTTTGTTTAAATATATCTTTGGATTCTATTTGCTTGGATTATTGGATATTTTTAACGGCTGATCGAATTTAAATAAAATTTAGTACATGGGAAACTTAAAACATAGGCTATTAAATTTTCATTCGAATAAAACAAATCCACGTTATAGTTATTACTAATATATACTTGTAAATACATTCGGTATACTATATAACGGTATATGACTTGACTGTATATATATATAATCTTCAAAATGAGCAATATGTCACGTTCTCACTTAGCGAGGCTGTGAAAAAACATCTCTTGCATTATCTATTGTTTGTTTGTTTTTCTCCGACTTCCAAAAGTAATTGGACCAGATGGAGACTTTGTATGGAAGTCGTCTGCTTGTGTGGGTACCTCTGTCCCATTCGTATTTCTACCGTGAAGCGGTTGTGTTTAAATGGCTATATTTCAGTTTGAAGAGTTTATGGCAATGAAATTACAGAAGCATAACACATTAGTCCTCAGAAATGGCAACATATGTGTTGTAATCATGGGTGACACAGTATACTCTGTTATGTCGATGATACTGTACATGTCTATAGGTGACGGTTACTACTTTCCATCAGGTGAGCCATCAGCTTGTTTGCTATTCTAAGCTTAAAAAAAAAGTTTTTTATCAGGACATTATAATTGTTTGGAATCTTCGATATCTTCTATAATTTCATTTCATCCCTGGATTATTCAGTTTTTCTACGCCATACACTTATACGGGATGACAAAAACGCAACATAAATTATGTAATCCATCTAATTTATAAAGATGGAGGATACAATGGAGGGGTCAAGCTTTATCTCGAGATTCGGTTGACCTATTCTGATAAGGCCACGTGCGGGCACCGCTGCTTAGATAAATTTGTTTATGGTGTTTCAAACCTCGTAGAGTTAGTCAAAAATTTAAATTAACACAAAATTTTTGGTGTCGGTCAGGATTTACGACTTCATCAATCAGGGACACAATAGCAATATTTTGCTCTTTTGCGGACAAAGCAATAAACTGAGTTGTGACCATTTTGTGTTGCTATCGCTAATACACGAAAGGAAAAATTATGTTTCTTCTTTCATGTTTTTTTTTTTGTATATGTTTATTTTATATTATATATTTATTTGACTATCTATCTATATATCTACAAATTATAAACATACAATAAACAATAAAACTACAGCATAGGATTTAAAAAAAAAACCGGTAAAAAGGTTTCTTTAGGGTTGGCAACGCGCGCGTAATGCCCTCGGTATTGTAATTGTAGACGATCAGAGGTTATGGGATGCGCTGTATACTTGTTTGCTTCCTCGGTGGTATAAAGAAAACGGCTGAGCTAATAGTGATGAATTTCGACATTGCACTTATAAACTGAATAAGCTTAGTCTTCAGCTTAATACGTACTAAACAATAGATGTAGGAAAATGCCATCGATGGAATATAAAATAAAGTATGTGTAAACTAATATTATAAAGAGAAAATATTTATTTATTTATTTTGTAATGGCTAAACTCAAAAAGAAATAACCTATTTTATAAACTCTTTCTCTTTTAGAAAACTCTATTATCAGCGAGTAACATAGATTGTACATAGTTCTACCTATTTACTCAAGCGAAGCCAGGACCGGTGCTAGTTTAAATAGTAAAGGTTTTGTTTTATAATAACTATTTTATTTTATACCACTGTGGTGGCAAACAAGCATACGGCCCACCTGATGGTAAGCGGTTAACGTAGCCTATGAACGCCTGCAATACCAGAGGTATTACGCGCGCGTTGCCGACCCTGAAGAAACCTCTTTACCCCCCTTTTGAAGAACCCCATGCTGTAGTCTCTCGGGAAAACCTCGGCAGGGAGCTCATTCCATAACCTGAGTGTTCGTGGGAGAAAGCATCTCTGAAACCGCGTTGTATGCGACCATTTAGGCTTTAAGGTATGAGGGTGAACTCCCTGTCGATGGCGAGCAGTACGATGATAGAAAGTGGCCGTAGGCATCATATTGAATAATTCCTCTGAGCACAATCCGTTGTATAAGCGGTAGAACACGCAGAGTGAGGCAAAATCTCTCCTAAGACTTAAGGGTTCAATACCGCTTGCAAGCATGGGATCATCGACAATTCTCATAGCTCGTCGTTGCACTAAGTCGAAGGGTTCAAGCTGGTATCTAATCGCTGATCCGGCGTGAAGTAATGCTTCGCTCTATTGAGCACACCGAGTTTTTTGGATGCCAGCTTCACCTTATCTTCGAGGTGGCCACGAAACTGTACGTCACTAGAGATGTCGACACCAAGAGTCCCAATGCTTTTACAGATGTTAAGAGACGTGCCTTGGAACTGTGGGGCCACAGCAAATGGGGTTTTCTTAGCGGTGAACGCGCAAACTTGTGTCTTAGAGGGGTTAAATTGGACCAAGTTTTATCGTCCCCAATCAGAGACTCCAGTTAGTGTTCTCTCGATTTCAGACACAAGCTGTTCACGATTGTTCTCCACGATGGAACGGGAGACATTGGTACGACCCGTATATAACTATCATGAGTCATAGTGTATTGTAATTATTGCACGCGAGTAGTAAGAGCGCGCTGGTTTTTCAGTGCTGCTCGCCACACAGCCTTGAACCGCGCTCATGAATTAGGGCTCCTATTGACTTCGGACCTAGTCCGTTATCTTCGAATTTAAAAAATGAGTAAAGTTGACATAAATCATTATAGTAAATATTTTACTTACAATTATCAGGACACAAGGAGCCATCGAACCCACACTCGGGGGTATCAGGCGGTGGGGTGAGTCGGCCTCCAGCCCAGTGGATCGGCCGGTCCGGGATGAACTGAAGGGACGAGTTTGCAGCTACATACGTCGCTACTACCTGTTGAGTAGAACCATTTTTTTACTCAAAATAAAATATTTCCTCTAAAATACAAGCTGGTAAAATATTAATTGACATGTAAACGGGAAATTTTTCACAAAAATCACGACAGTCAGTGACCGTGTCAGCTGATACGAGGCAGCTAAAAAATATTTTTCGAACATGTATTTAGTCCGTAGGCACGGTGTATATTATGTACCCAATATTCTCTTTTAGGGCAACCACAGCCGTGCGACTCAATTCAAGTGCTTTAATACAAAAAATATTAAATTTGAATTTTAAAATGTAAAAGTAACTGTCTATCACTATTTATTATCCTTAATAAGAACAAGACAGTGTCCTTACTAATATGAATGTAAAAGTGAATTTGTTTGTTTGTTACCTTATAGCGCTTTAATTAATCACTATGAAATTTCGTATACACGTTCTACATGTGAAGGAGAAGCATATAGGCTACTTTTTATCCCGGTCAGTAAATATATACTTATTCAAAATTTTATTTTTAAGTCTATCCTCAAAATTCACTGAGTTTTCGGATTGAATCTGGTGTTTTTTTTTTTCATACCAAAATCGGCCCAGGAAATGGCGCTTAACTTTTTATTTTTAGTATGATAGGATATGGATAATAGTCGAAAGGAACGATATTTTAATATTTTTAAACGGTATATGTAATTTTAACATCGAATTTGTGTTTCGCTCGGTCTTAAAATTTCGGTTGTTTCGGTTGTCAGTCCGCCTGCCAAGCGTGGCAACTACTGATAAAACCCCCCGAGGGGGAGGCTTATGTTCAGCAGTGGACTGTTAAAGGCGGATCTGATGACAGTGTATGTTTGATTTAAGTATATAATAGTATCAAATTTAATAATTATAAAAAAAATTCTAATATTCTTTTTAATCGTAACTGTTGCGGTAAGCAATTGTTTAGCATTTTTCATTTACGAGTAAGTTACTTTGATATACCAGTTAGAATGAAACTATATAAAATTATAGAAATAAAAATCTCCCGTGTGAATTCACTATTAGGAAATGAAAGATTAATATTTGTTCTGTGACGCGATTCGGAAATACCGTGAGAGCGCGCGTTTGCTTCTGCATTTCGTTTAAAAGGATACATTGTAGCGTGAAAATGCTTTCAGATATAGCTCCACGTTCGAATCGGGTGACACACTTTAGGATATTCCATTACGTTTATTATAATTACGAGTGGAACAAGTAGACTTTGTTCCACAAAACACAACTTCAATCGCTAACACACACGGAGCACAACGAAATATTTTTTTTGATAATTTGAATTTAGAACGCGAATTCATGTTTGCCAGTGGACTATGTTTTTTTTTTTTAATTTATGTTTTATGTTTGATAATGAAATGGTAACCCCGCCCACGCGGGGGGAAAGGGATTTTTAGCAATGGAGTTCGACATTGCTAGCATATGCCCTATCAGGTCGACTTCCACGTGGTTCCCCCTGGAAACCATCGTGAACAATTCTTGTTGGATTCGTCACAATGGGCTAACTGACCTGCTTCATTCTCATCTATCATCCCTTATTGGTGCCCCGCCGGTATACCAATAGCGCGGGTGGGGCTACCATTCCATTATCACCCATTAAACAAAAGAAAACCCCGCCCACGCTGACAGTATACACTGGCGGGGCACCAGTGAGGGATGATGAGTGAGATCAAAGGGCAGGTCAGTTAGATTATCGTGATAAATACACCTGAAATTCAGCGCGATGGTTTTCGGGGGGACCACGTGGAGGTCGACCTAATTGGGTATATTGTTAGCTATGCTTGTTGAATATAACTATCGTGAGTCATACTGTATTTTAATTATTTATATTGACATTATTCACGTTTTAAATCCGGGGATGCCGGGCTAGTTACAAACTCGATAGGAGCCCTTATTCATGAGTGTGGTTTACAGCAGTGTAGTGAGTAACCACTACGATATTTTTTGCTTTGCAAAAAAATGGCTTAAATTGTTTAAAAATTATTAAGGTACTAATAAAAATAAACTGTTTTACTTTTTAAAAGAACTATCTATCAAAACTGCCGTCATAGCGTAACTTGTCTACAAAAAAACAGAATCCAAATAAAGTGAATTGAATTTGAAATCGCAAAAAAAAATACTGATGTATAAATGTGAAAATGTCTGTTTATTTGTTACCTCTTAGCACCTGAACGATTTTATCAATCACTATGACATTCAGTATACACGTACTCAATAGGATGAAGATTTAATATTATTAGGATAAATATTTGGGTGGTGCATTCATAAAATTAATGTATTCCAAATCTTGTTTGTCGAACTATGTACTTCCTCCTCCCTGTATATAGGGATCCTGTATGAGTTCTATTGGGGGGATTTCATTTATATCTATTTAAAAATAATTAAAATATAATTTAAAAACTAAACTACTGAAATGATTTTGTATATATGTATGTCCTTTCTGATGAAAAAAATACAAATCGGTATATAACTGACAGAGTTATGAGGTAACAAACATAAAAAAACAATTCCAACCGAATTCAGAACCTTCTTGTTTTAAATAACAAACATAAAAAAATACAATTCCAACCGAATTCAGAACCTTCTTGTTTTCAATAACATACATAAAAAAATACAATTCCAACCGAATTCAGAACCTTCTTGTTTTAAATAACAAACATAAAAAATACAATTCCAACCGAATTCAGAATCTTCTTGTTTTAAATAACAAACATAAAAAAAACAATTCCAACCGAATTCAGAACCTTCTAGTTTTAAAAGTCTGTTGAAAAAGATTCTTCTAATAGATTCTTCTAATTGTTTGTCTATTTTTGTAAATTTATATCTGTAATGCCCATTATTACGATGGAGGCTACAAAACACATATAGATAGACAAAATCGTTTTAATACTGAGAGAGTTTCTCAAGAAAATCCTTTCAATACATCCAAGCGATTTAGTTTACAATAGTCGATGCTGGTTTGTATTGTACTGTGGAAGTGGTGAGGAAGAAAGATTTTCTAAATAACGACTCAATGCAACTGAAAATCGGTCTGTTTACATTAAACGTATTGGAGTATATAACAGGAATTTCCTATTTCGTACAGTTTCTTACGAAAACAACAAAGTTAATTTTATATATTGGTATAAAAACCGCTGGATTTACATTTATTTATTATTATTAAAATTGCATATGACTGTTACGTTATATAAGATCTGAGGATCCACATAATGTTATTATATTTTACAATTCGTTACTTAATCAAATCTTAATGGTTCTTATATTTATTTTTAACTAGATACCCACTGCGGTTTCGCTCGGGTGGCCTAATAAAGAAAATAAGACGAAAAAGCTAAAGCTTATTGAAGCGTAGTAACGTTGGAATTATCTGTAAATTTTCAAAAACTGTTACAATATATTTATATATACATAGATATATGTATATTTTCAATATTTATAAGTCACTACCTATATCAGTGATAAAAAATTAGCCTTCTCTAATTCCTATAATGCATGTACACTAAATGACATAATAATTAATTAAGTCATTAAAATAAAGCAAACAAACAAACTCACATTCATATTAATAATATAAGTAGACCTTAGGACTATTTAAAGTGTAATCTAATAATAAACTAAATAAAAATAAATTAATTATTAAATTTGGTTGAAGCACTTTATTCCAAATCTCCGTTTTTAATCTCAAATTTTGCATCTTGTATTTTTTATAACAATACATAGTAATAATCTGAAATTTACTGCAGGAGATTTAGAAGATTACGTAGAATAAGAGGACGTAACAAAGTCACAAAATCCCGACTTTGCGTGAATTTTTGCATGTTTTTCTTGGTTTTTGTAAAGTACATAATTATGGCAGCCATTTTATTTTTATACTGTTGTTAAATAAAATTAAATGGAAGAGGTTGAATATCTGTCACTTATTGTCAAACTCCAAGGGTCATCAACATGTAGAGTGTAATAAATAATTAATTATTAGTGTATAATATATTAAATTTACCAAATATTTGCTTCTATATTAGTTCCGATTTCGCCCATATTTTCATTTATATATATTACGTGATTACATCGCCAATTTTTATTGTTGTTGTTGTATTAGTTATGAACCGTCCACTGCTGAATATAACCTTCCCCTATAAGATGGGGTTTTAGTAGCAAAACCTAGTTGCCACGCTTGGCAGGCAGGTTGGAAACTGCAATTTGGCTTTTTGTGATGTTTTAAGAGGAAAGTTGCTCCATTCCTCCTCCATCTCTCCACCATAAACTCACTTAGTCGCCTCGTATGATATCCATGGGAAAGAAAGGGATGACTTTTTCTATGCCGGGACCTACACGACCAATTCCCAATTCTTATCTGAATGATTCATCCTATTTGACAAAGATTGGGTTCCTCCCGTATTGATAGCATATGAATTTTATTACAAACAATCGTTTTTCTTTTTATCTCGAAATCTACTTATAATTTATATTGTGACAAAATTCACCGCGTGGGCCCTGGTATAGAATGGGCTACTCCTTCCTTTCATGTGGGTGTAGTAAGAGGCGACTAAGGGAGGGCGAAGGATGGCGGTAGCGTCCCACTTAAAACATCTTTAAAAGCCTAACTGCGGTTGCCAACGCGACTGCCAAGCGTGGCAACTTCCTGCAAATCTTCTCTTATAGGGAAGGCTTATGTCCAACAGTGGACAGTTTGACACACAATTCTAAGTTCCAAAATCTAATGTTTTTAATCTATCGCACTCTGATAATAATGATAATGTATATTAAAAACGAAAATAATTTCACTTATTTTTTTTTTTTTTTGCGGAGAAATTTAATTGTCTTGTTTTATTTTATATACAAATTTCGTGAATAAGTATATCCCAGTATTTTGTCAAATAACATCGTAGTTCTCAAGCTACAAAATGCTTTTTTTTTCAATCTTTTTTCAGATAAAAGATCCTGATTTAGTTATTGCTCAAAGATTTATTGAGGACAAATAAAACTAATAACAT